ACCTGTAAAACCCAATCAAGTGCAATAACTCTGCTACACATTTGGAATTTCTGTGCTAGGGGCAGGGAATGAACAGATCTCATGCCCAAAGCTTACAATTCAAGCTTAAGACAAGTAATATACAGAATGAAAATTTAATTACAATTAAATTTTATACCTCAGCTCTTTGGGTGATGATCTCTAGGGAGATAAATATAATTTCTATTTCAGGGAACTGAGAGAACACTTCTGGGATTGTTACTTCCCATCCCACATCTTTCCCTAGAATATCAGAAAAACTCCATCCAGGTATGGTCAATTGACAAAATGTTCCTCTGAGACAGTGAAGTAATGGAATTCATAAGCAAAGCAATTCTGCCCAACATGTTATGAATGTAATTGAGCAAGACTGTGTCAAAGGTGGAGAAAAAGATGCTGTAGTAATCAAAATCAGAAGAACAAGAGCCAAGAAGTTAATTTTAGCAGGGTGAATGGGTAAGAAGAGCCACAACTTAAAGATTTTAATACACAAAGAACCAGAAACACTTAAACTTGCCACTAAGAGCTCTGGACGTGTACATCTAAGATAAGATACAAAGTACAGATTTAGTAGCAGACAGAAGGGATGATCTGCTGTTGGAAAACAAAGAGTGGTAAGAAGAAAAATCATGAATATTAAGTCATCTCTGATTAAACAGTTATTAAATAGCTGTTATAGCTACCAACGTCTTCGGTCTTCCTTGACAGATAATAAGCAGCTAAACCAAGTTAAAGTTGATTGCCTTTGCCCTGAAATGGTGTATTGTGTTGTTCTACCATATTAGAGACTTTTGCTGTAGAGCATTTTTAGACTATACACAGTAGCACACTACACAGACAGATTCTCAAGTACAGGACACAGCATAGATTAAGAAAGCAAGCTATTTCTACAGCTGCTCTAAAGGATATTAGACTACAGCAAACATACAGAAGACACTGCTCCTGCTACCTTGGATGAGCAAGGTTTTCAAAAGCAACAGATTAAAACAGAAGACAAAGAAGATACAAAGGGATAAACAGGAGTTGCCTATTTTTTAAGGCTGTATTTTGCTGAATCCAACTAGACATCTAACATCCTTTTTCCTCAGTTTATCCCTGCTTTTGCTTAAACTCAGTTCCTTGAATTCTCCTCAGACAGCTAGCATTTTTAACTGAGGGGAGAGAAGCAAATACACACCACAACCCACCCCATCGCCAAAATATCAGTCCAGGAGACACCTCAGTAAAGCATAAGTTACCATCTCACTGGATTTACACAACAGTTTTTAGCAATTATATGGTGTTGCTGACTCATTCAGTTTGTGACTGGTAATAACTAACAATCCCTTTTGGTATTACTGACTAGTAACAACTTTCATCACTTTATACCTGTGCTCTGGTTTACCTCCCACATTAGCTTTTGGACAAGGTTGGTTTGTTTAGTGGTGTCAGTTCCTTTCTCCAATCATGTTATACCTTCTTAACCTGGTTCTCTATGTATTGAATAACTATTGGCATCATGTTATCATAATACTATTATCAAAGCTACTCTTAAGTTGAAATACTGTTCTCTATTGCATCCAAACATTTGTTTTTCAGTCCCTCCCTAATTCAGCACCAAAAATCAATCAAAATAAGTATTAATCAGGGTTTTCCACCATGCCTGGCAGCTGTACAACTTTTTAATAATAATTTTATCTACTGTTTCCCTACAGAAATAACTCTGTGACCATTAAGCTTGCAAGCTTATAAGGGAAAAGAGAACAAAATACAAGGAAAATAAAAAAGTGAAGGTAAAACCTGATTTCTTCCTGCTCATACCTGACTTGCCAACCACCAAAGACAACTTATTCTGCTCTAACTTGTTTACATAGGATTTGGTGAGGAAAGGAAGGGGAGAGGGAGGGAAGAAACAGCTGTTTGCAAAGAAACAACAAATAAAACCCAAATCTTGTGTTGCCTGATGCACACAGTTCCTTTTCCTAGACAAGAGTACAGTGTTTATTTCACTTGTATTTTGATGCTGTCATCACAGTGGGACAGAATCATTAAAGCCAACTCAACTACTGTTTCTAGACAGTCCAAATCTCCCTCTTTTTTGGAGCTCCTATTATTGTAAAATGAAATACTCATGACTCCTTCATAGCTTTCTTCAGCACAGATATTGACAAAAGGATTGCTTTCTTTGTTTCTCAGTATGATTACATCATAACCCTGGTTTCCTCATCTCTATAATTTCTAAAATCTGTAATAAAAACTGTCCTTACATAGGAACTTCACTTGTAAAGAGCTGTAATGCTCTTTACAAGTGAAGAAACCCTTCACAAAATAGAGGCAAACACAGTTTGCTTTTCATTTTTTGAAAGCATTTTGCTACTATCACTGTGTGCTATAGCTTCAATCTAACGAAGACTTTTCAAATGTCTGTTTCAATGCTGTATTTGTCCTGTTGACCACAAGACAAACGAAAAACGGTAGTGTGCATTCGTATTTAAAATGCTACTACTTAGTGGGAAATGCAATATGGTTCAAAGCTGTTACTGCAGAAAAGTTAATTTTGCTCATACAATCAACACAGCTTGGCTGATTCCCAAGCATGATAGGGAATCATTGAAACAAAAATGATTTGGTTAAAAATCTTGGTTCCATGTTTGCAAAACATCTGTTTGTAATTGCCCTCATCCTCTCAATTCACCTACTAAATGCAGCCTTTCACAATGTTCTATTATTTTCACTTTGTTTCAAGAAGGGCAGAGGCTTCAGGAAAAGGTGAACAATTTGCTCTTGGGGCTTGAGGTCTTTTCTCCCTTTTTTTAAGATAAGAAACGCTCCCAACGGTGGTCTGATGGAGTATGCAAGTTAACTTACACAGCCTTAATACCACCTGTTTATATTTAAGCATCCAAATACAGCTTTGCTAGGAATATATGCATTCAGTATCGCAAAGGGCCGTATGCCAGGGAAGGAATGTGGAATAAAAACCAAAGAGGTGCAAAAACAGCAGAAGAGAAAAGACGATCATGACGTTCCTGACAGAATCACATAATCAGATCCACACTGGCGTACGATCATCGAGTTATTTCGTGTGGGCGACTGTTTTGAACCGAAGTGGTAAAAAAATAGTTTAGCATACCCTTGGCACCTCTTTTGCGATTCGATTCCCAGTACCTACTGACGAGTGTCCTTTCGCAATACCGAACGCCGATCTCCTCCCGTGTGAGCGAGCTCAGCCTGCCACGGCCGTGCCTTCGCAGAGAACGAAGCGCTGCCGCCGCGCGGCCCGTGCAGCCCCGACGCCCGCTCGGGGCAGTACTGGGCTTGAAATGCGGCAGCGCGGGGTCGGCGGCCCAGCTCCGCGCCAGGCGCGGCCCCTCGCGCTGCCGCCGAGTGCGCACGAGGGCTGCGGGCAGCGGGGCTCGGCCGCGTCCCCGATCCCTCCCGGCCCGGCGGCAAGGGGTCGCGGCGGTGGCACGGTCCCCGCCCGCCACCAAGATGGCCGAGCGCCAGCACCACAATGCAGCCACCTCGCCGGGCGGGCGGAGCGGGAGGCTGCTGCGCGGTACCAGCCACTGAGCCGGGGGACTCTCCTCGGCGCTGCCGCGCTGGGTCCGGGGAAAGCGGCCGGAGCAACAGGGCGCGGCGACCCCGACGCCGGGGAGCAGAACCTTCCGGTCGCGCGGACTGAGCCCGCGGACCCCATCCGAGCCCGCGGACCCTCACCGCCCGCCCGGTGTCGGGGGCAAGATGGAGCCTTCCCGGCGCACCCGCCGGGCGCAGCGGCCCGCGGAGGCGGGAGCAGAGGCTGCCGCTTTCCCGACCACGCCGCCGACCGTCCCGCCAGTACCTGCACCGGGGCGGAAGGCTTCGTGTCGGTAAGACTCTGGCGTCAGCTCAGAGAGCGGTCGGGATGCTGCGGGGCTGGCTCTGCGGGCAGACGCTGCGGCGGCCGGTGACGAGCTGCGCACGGCCGATACTCCGCGCTCTTCTCACTGTCTCCCTCTAGCTCCCACCGCTATTTAAGCAGTCGCCACCTCCAGCGGCCACGCCACATGGGCTGACAGTTTACTCCTCGCCGCAGTCCAATGAGAGCCGGGGCAGGGCCGCCCCGAGTCGGACCCGGGGTGATGCCAACCCCTGCCCGCCGGAGTCACTCCACGGGAGAAGGGGACCCTGACCAGCTCTCGAGTCGGACACAGGCGGGTCCCCGTGCCCGCGGCACTGGGCCAAGCTGTCGCGCCCCGCCCCGCATTGGAGGTCGTGAAAGGCTGGGCGCTGCGGGGGTGCCTGGCTTCGAGCCGGGCTGGCCGGGGGCGAGGCAGTGCCGACCTACCGCGAGCGCGGACCTCTTCGTGTCCCTCTCCCACCTCCCCGCGGGTGTGCACACTGTGACGGGGGTACGGCCGCGCCGGCACCGTGACTCGGCGATTGACGCGGAGGCTCGGCGGGCGCCAGTCCAAGCGCGGCCGGATCGCGCGGCGCCCGCACAAAGAAACGCGGGGCCGAACGCGCAATCCCGGGCCGGCACCCAATGCGGGGGCGGGGACGCGGGGGCGGGGGCGCGGCCCTGCCAATCGCGGCGCCCGCGCGGCGTTGCTATAGGCGATAAGGCGATGTGGTGACGGTGGAGGGGCGTTCGGGGCCGCCGCCAGAGTGAGCAGCGCCCGCTGCTCTCCGGCAGCGGCGGTCGTTCACCCCGGCGGAGCGCGGTGCCGGGGTTACCACAGGGCAGCCGGCACGCCGGCTGGGGATGCTCTGCCCCGTGCCCAGGACCGCCGCGCCGCCCTCACTGGCGGCAGCGGAGCGCGTCCGGAGGCGGCGGGCGGGCCAGGGGCTCCCTACCCGCCGAATCCTCGGTACGCCCCTCTTCTTCCGACGGAACGGGGCGGATCGCTCGGCGTGCGGGCACCTTTCATCCACTTTCCCAGTAACTTACACTCCTTCAAATAAAGCCAAACAGTCAACGAATTCCAATTTTCTTCTTTATTGTCTACGACTGCCGCTCCAACACAAAAAAAGCCTTCCTGCCTTTCGGTCAGCAAACGCGGGCCCGAGCACCGAGACGCCGAAAGCCCCCGCCTCACCCCTAGTAGTCCAGGGGGAGATCTGGCTCCGGGCACAGGCCCCGCTCCCAGTGGCGCCTGCGCTGCCACTTCGCAATACAGCTCCATTCCGACCTTCTCGGGGCAGACCTTTTGCCTTTATCCATATATTCCTCAGCATCACAGGTTTTTAGCCGCTCGATAAGAACAATAATCAATAATTTACTCTTTTACCTTTTCAGTACTCTGTGATCAGCCTGAACTCTCTTTTTTTGTAGGCGCTCCTTTCTTTGTACAATTCAATATTATCCACAGTAGTACCTTGTTTCCATTCTTCTCATCTGGTTCTTAAGAATCAACGCCCAATTTATTAAATATTTTGATCACAAGAGAAATATATGAGACTTTTCCTGCTGTATTCAGTACACCCTTAGCACAACCTCCCCATGCAGGATCCAAGCAATGTGGTCATGTTATTTATTATTATGCATACTTTGTTAATTTTCAGCATACTTACACACTATGTTCTTACAGTTACTCTGAAACAAACGTACAATGACTGAACAGCTTTTTTTTTTTTCTATCACAAGTAAAATAAAATTAACGACCTGAGAGCTATCATCTTCACTTACCTACAGTTGACTTAAGGAAACCTGTTTCTCAGGGAAACTGAATATATTAAAGATGCATTTCTGGCAAGAGGTCTGCATGACCAGGCATGCCAGGTGACATACTGGGGTCAGGGGAAGGGGGGCATACCACCAAACAACCACAACCACCACCACCACCAAAAAACCAAACCAAACCAAACAAACAAACAAAAACACAAAAAAAAGAAAAAAGAAAAAAAAACACTCAGAAAACCCTCAAACAAGAGAACAAAGAAAAAAACCTGCATAGAAACCTACACAAAAGCATTTCTGAAGTCTGCAGCTTGTATCATCGATGTAAGGAATAAAGAGTAGTGTTTTCCAGGCCCACATGCAGTGTTACAAAGATTAAGGAACAAACTGTTCTTTTACACTGCTTTTAACACCTGTAAATGCACAGAATCTCCTACAACTGAACTGTTGTGCACCTCTACAGTTATTAAACATGGAAATAATAAATAATTTTTCAGGCTAATGTACAGCTATTCAAAACTTCAGAATTTATACAGTGAGTTCTAAAAATAACCAGTAAGTCTTTTAACTGGTATGGTCAGGGCCAAAATTCCTCTGCTTGTTAGAAACCACTATGCTTTGAGCTACAGAAAGAGCTTATTCAGGGCCTGGTTCAAGGGAATGCATCATGTTGTTCTGGCTCATGAACAATGTTGAATCCAACGACAGGATTTTTGAGTAACAAAAAGACTTAGAAAGACACTCACAAGGTCTCTCAGGCCTTATATTGGCTTGGTAACATCTCATGAAATTTATTGCAGATTTAGCATCTGATTATAATATCATCGCACCTTTGCACTAAAGCAAAACATTTTCAACAGGTAGTAGAAAAAATTATTCAAATTCTCAAACTAATTTCTACCACACTGTCAGATGCCAAGGAGAGCACCTGTTTGCAAGGGTACCAGGAAAGCATTTCTAAAAAGAAAAGTGCTACAGAAAAAAAAAAAGATGCTCATGGGTAAGAGGCTCTCTTCCTTCATTTATCCTGTTTGGATTTTATATGTTTAGCAGCAACTGAGAAGTATTATTCACTTCAGTGATACCACTCACAGACTCAAAGAATCTCTTACGTTGGAAGGTACCTCTTGGGATAACCTAGTCCAAACCCTCAGCTCCAGGCTCATCTGGAACAGGCTGTCCAGGACCACATCTATTTGGGTTTTGATTATCTCCATAGACAGAGACTCCATAAAAAAAGTTTTTTATAGAATTCTTCATGTGTATTTCCTTTACATAAAGTTCATCACTGTAATATCCCAAGACAACTCAGCATTACCGGAAATGTTACAAAAATACACTCATCACTTGTTTCAATGTCCTGGTGTGTTCATTACTACAGAGAAATCCTTTCTTACATCCCACCTAATTCAAGTTTCCTTTTAGTTTCATGTTTTAAGACTTATATCTTACAATGCATCTGGTATGATTCTGAGGGTATGAATCTAACTCATTAGCAGTGTTTTTCACTGCTTTAAAGTCCATGCAATCTCATGTCAAGGAAAAATATAATTACTGGTGTGACAATAGAAATTTAATTTTATACTCTTTCATTATGTCTGAACAAGTGGGAGGAGCTACAGAAGATGAGAAACAATACAGACTCAGGTGTAATCTTTTCAACCCCTTTTCTTTCAAGTAGAAAGATAGCTGCACAGGATTAACGGTTGCATTGTTAATTATAAGAAAACAAGTAGGTTGAGGCATCCCACTGCTAAGCTTAAATCACATCTACAGTTTCTCAACAAAAAATCTGCTAAAGACCTGGAAGCCCTGCCTGAAGGCACAAGGCTTTACCTATGTGTTAACTGGGCATTTCTAAATCCATGATGCAAGCGAAATTTAACACATATAATTAAAATAAATCGGTATTAACAGTGAAGACTGTAATCTCATAATGTAAACACATTAACTCTTTATTTTAGGGTTCGCTGTGTGAAACGGGGTATTTGTTCTCTCTTTTGGCTGCAAATAACTCAACATACAAAAATGAAGCAAATACTTAGATCTCATTTAGAAATTTCAAAGTAAATTAATAGCAACCGTGGACCTGGAACCTGCTGCCAACATAACAATCAGTCTTTAATATTATAGTTGCGGATTTTTGCCATGTTAGAAGAGATTTTTGGTTTTAATGGATGAGTACAAGATAAATTCCTGGATTTTAACTTCTGCTGAACTTCCAATCTTGTTCCTCTCACTGTCAGATCTCCAGCTGGCACTTCAAGTTTATCCTTGGCTTTAACATTTTGCTGAGATTCTTCAGATTGCTTGGTTGAATGTATAACTTCCAATTCCACTGCTCAAAAAATGGACAGAAAAATACTTTGTAGTTGTGTTTGTATTTAATAATGAGACTGGATAGATGAAGAGAACTGATTTACTCTTTTCCCCTAAATACACTGCTGCCACAGTGCCATATTGTGACAATCTTATATTAACAGAATAATTTCTGTACATAGGAGGCCCAGAACTGTCCATTAAGGTTTGCTCTACTGATGGTGTAACACATCAGCATCTCCTGCTCAAATCCTCGCTCCATCTGTAGCTGCTCATCTCCATTAGCATCAGACTGCTTAAGAGAGGAAGACAGCTGGGAGGTTGGTGTGGCTGTTGAAGTTAAGCACTACCTATCTGTTCGGCTGTTTTTCAACATCACCTTTTACAAGTTTACCCTTCTCTCCACTGTGAGAGAATATGTTTGGAAATGCATGATACAAAAGGCTCAGAGGCAATTCTGTTGGCTTGACAAAGCTGCAGTACTACCATTACCTTTTGGGGCTTTTTTTCAATCTTCTCTCACAGAGGAAGGCATTTACCGAGGAAATCTGTGATTTTGTAGACTAAAATATCTTGTCTGTAATAGAGAGAACTAACTAAAAAAATAATATCTTTGGATGGGAAGCAGTGGGACCCGTCCTAATATCAGCTGGAGTCCATCCTGCAGCTTCTCACATAATTCTCTGAAAACCATTATCTCTAACTAACTGAACTTTAGTCTTGTCACAGGTTTCATTAGGTAACCTAAGTGTAACTGGTCAATCAAAATATTCACTGTAAGCTATAGGTAATATTTACAGGTGTTTGGCTCCAGCCACTTAATCCTTATTTTTCAAGGCACTAAGACTTCACTTTTTCTATGAAGAGCCAAAGGAGACAGGAGGAGTAGTCATAATAAACTTGGGATAACACACACTACAGCATTCTATACTAATTTAAATTATGAGCACCACAGGCTGCAGTCCCAGAGACTATTCAATCACAGAGCAAGAAAAAAAGGCACACAAATAATTGACAAAGAAAAGTTATTAGTAGAAAAAGATACATTTTCAAAGTCAATTGGACATGGTAAAAAGTTCAAACAAAACTCAGCATGGAAGGAAATAAAAAATGTTCCTGAATTCTGGAATGAATTGATCTATTGAAGGTTTATAGCTCTATGCAAAGCATGACACTGTAGCTAGTGTCAAAACATGACATTTTTCAAAATAATTTTTATATTCAGGCTTAGCTTGAACCAGCTGTTCACTCGTGTGTGTCATCACTGCACTGAGTCGGCTTAGTGGCATTTGTTATCACAGCTGTCAAAGGCTCAGTGGGCTCTTGCACTGTGGATGTGAAATCCTGTTGTCCAGCTTGCCACCTAGTGGCTTCCTACAGATATAGAAGGTATGGAGAAGCATGCTTGAACCCATGGAAGATCTTTGGGTGTATTTTCCTACCTGGCAAATGGACTTTATTCATTATAGTACCTCTACCACATCTGACAGATAATAATGCAGAACATCACAACATCAACCGTTTAGAACAGTACAGGCAGCTGTGTCTGAAAGGTACTGCTTCAAGGATTATCTTCCTGAACAGGAACAGCAGCAGAATGATATTAGTTTGTGCTTGTGGTCTAAATAACAGCAATGAGCAGATCCATAAATAGCACACACTTAACACTGCCTACAGACAGTCTGGTTTTTTAAATACTCCGTTTTCAAGGGTCTTTTGCATTCAGTAAAGGGGTTGATTTTCAGAAGTTAATGTGGGAGGCCCTAATCCTGTAAATCCAAAGGAAAAGTAACCATGCACCAATGCATCACCATGCATCCCTTCCTCTGACGACTTCTGTATGCTTGTCTCCTGTCATTCATCAAGAAACTACAGATGTAACTAGTAGAGGCTAATTTAGGTGTTTGGAACAAAAACACAGGACATAAGCATTCTATAAGGCTATTCTGAACTGCCAAAAATGTGTGCTAACACAGAAATTTAAAACCAACCATTGCAAACTTGTACAGTTATTTCCAAAAATGGAAAAAGATGAAGAATCAATACCCAAGAGTGACAAATGCTATTTAAAGTGAAATATCCTACGAGAATACTGAATAAAGACCTTACTGTATTGCTGGTTCTGCTTGGGACTGTTCACATCTGTGAGGAACCTTGAATAAGATCAGCATGAATATGCACTGTACAGTAAAATCTGAATGCAGTAGCTTGGTTTTCACACCAATGAAAAAACACACCTAATTTACAAGCCTGAAACTTACTTTCAGAAGTGACCTTGGCAACCAGAGCTAGCAAGATCATAGTTAAGCACCTAACCTGCTTTTGGAAATGGAAGTAAATGTTTAGTGTATTGAAATGCTTAACATCTCCTCAACTTGATGTGTGTTAACTTCAGTCAGATTAATATTCACAGATTTTTTTTTTCTCAGGATGAAAGAGATATATGTAGACATGTTCTATGAGCAAACTGAAATTTCCCCAGATGGAAAATTTCATTTAATAAATTTGTCACTAGATATTTGCTTATGGCTAACAGTGTTTCTGAAGGAACACGAACTCAAACAAGTTCCTATTCAGGAGAAGAACATGTAAGTGAAGAAAATGTAACTTGGAGATTAGTTAATATTTGTGAAACACTTCAAAGATGAAGTTTTATGTAACGCAGAAAAGAGATCATGAGTCTTTCTCTGATTGGAGCCGGAATGAAGCCAGAGCCAGAGCACTCTTTCTGTTTGTTAATATTTCACCAGATTCTTTCTCTGGCCAGCTTTTTACCCCCATGGATTGCTCTTAGAACTGTCAGTGATGTCAACGCTGTTGAAATTCTGTCTTGTGTGGAAACACTTAAGATAACTTTTGATCCATAAAGTGTAGCATTTCAGACCACAGAGCTTTGCAAGTAACAATGAGAATTATAGTAGAAGAAACTCCCCTAAGCTCAAGTAGTAAACCAGAAAAGTTACTTTGCTCAAAGCAACTCATTCCTATTCTTTGTTAAACTACAATGTAAATGCCAATGAGTAAACCCAGGACACGTACTGAGTACCTGTGGAGGTGCGGTTTCTTAAAATGTGGAGTGGGACATGAAAACACAAAGTTTCATCTACTCCAAACATATATAAATCCAGTGACTAATGAGAACACAGCTTGCCTTATGCCCTTATTCCCTCTGCACTGACCCTAGCCTTTGCTGATCCCAGGAGATACAGCTGATACTGATCTGTTCACATGGTACCACACAGGGCCCTTAACAATACAGGCTTTATGCTAAATGCAGTCCTAGAGTTGAACTTTAATAGTGATGTTTGCCTTTTTTTCCCCAAAAAACTAGTGTCTCCAACAGCAAGTAATAACTTTATTAAGCTAAATTACTCAAAGAAAATAAATTTCAGTTTTCTAAATGTTTTACAAACATTTAGAACATCCTCCTGCCTACCAATTACTCTGAAATCTAAAAAGGCCCGATAGCCCACTGGTGAATGGAGAAAACTTCCAGCAGACATATATCACCTGATCACCTGGCTCTACATGTGTGCCATGATTTTCAGAGGAAAGCAGACAACTATTCTGATAAGCAACTTTCCTTTGAGGGTGGCTTGTCATCAGCATTCAAGGCACACATGATGTGGATCACCAACCAAAATCTTTCACCTGCTCTCAGCCTCTGGTATAGAGCATTTAGAAAGCAAAGAAATACAGAAGCGTATTTCTTACTAGTACAGCCTATGTATCTTATGTAGCCTTTTAATATCATCATGGCTTGTACCTGTCTACCTCTGTAGCAGGTTTTTCCTTTTAATAATATGGAACAAGAAAAACACCATCAGCAGGAACCTATGTTCCTTCTAAACACCTGCTCTCTAGTTATCTACAGAATTAACATACAAGCTATTAAATCCATCTCATTTCTCCAGTACAAACTGAAAACTAGCAAGCAGAGTAAAGAGACAGAAAATTAAAATATAGCGTTTTGACTTGCTTGGAAGTTTACACAAGTTCTGAATTTGATGGTGAAATGAATAAAGTCTGTAACAGTATTAAGATGTAGTCTAACACTTCAAAACACATTGAGCACTGAGTCATTGCATTGTGTCATATGCTGGAAACAGAGCAAATCAAAGGGCTTACTTGACATGCCAACCATTTTGAGTGCCAATAGGCTGTTCTGTATATGAAAAAAATGAATCAAACTGTTTAACAGGTTCAGAAAAATAATTTTCATGCTACCTTTCTCTGTTTCACCAGAAATGTCCCTAAAACATAGCTACTGGTAGAATCAATTTGAACAGAGTGAACTCAGAATAAAAAAGGGAATAAAAAAGTTTGAATAAGCAAACTAACTTGCTTGCTCTGTAGCAAATCGTTCTTGTTACTGAGCTTCCAAGTCTCTGTGCGTGTCACTTGTACCTGAAAGCCCAGTTCTGAGTCACTTTATCTTAATGACAGTTTTATCTAACCATGTGTTTGATGAATGTACTAAATTCAAGTGAGTGGAATTAAACAGGAAAGACTGAAATAATTTTTCATAGTTCATGCATGAAAAATAATGCAAGCCTCTGCTAAAAATCAGAACTTGAAAATTTAGTATATTTTGCTTCTAAGGGGATGTTCTTCCAAAAAGGAAAAATTTTGCTTTCACAATCTTTATTTCACAATCTTTTTGAAATGCAGAATTCACTCTAGTAGAATTAAGGACACCTTTTGGTTGGTTTCCTGGAAGAGAAAGCTAGGCAGCAAAAAAGAGCATTTAAAAATCTTATTCTTGCAATGCAGTATTTCAGGGCCTTCATGTTTGAGTTAGAAGTTCCACTCTGGTGTTCTTCATATAAATCTGGATCCAGAGATAAAATTAAAGTTGTTCTCAGGAAAATATCAGCCTTTACTAATGTTTCACGTTGGCAGTACCATCTTTCCCTTTTGCTATTCTCTAGATCCCCAAAAATCTACATTAAGTTTTGCAACAGTGGTTGGAAATTTCTAGACATTAAGAAACTGATGTCCTTGTAAGGTTGCCAGAGCTGTTGCATCACACATACAACAGCACGAAACTGCATGGCACTATCAGTAATGTTTCAAAGACATCCTTTTGCTTATCCTGTCAATATAGGCCTGACCTGAAATAACTCTTCCTATTTCAGTCCTAGCCTCACAAAAAAAGCACGTGAAAGCACTGTGTCCATTCCAGTCCTACAGGTCTATCAATGCACATTACTTTGTCCTTGCAGTGCACTGCTATTGTGAGTAAATACACTTATAATCCACTCCTCATTTTGAAAGCCCTTTAAAATATTATTTTTTCTTGTGAGCTGCTAAAGATGGTTCATTGCATCCATCTACTGATTTAAAAGTAGATGTAACATAGGCTGGAAAGGACTTCTGGGTGAAATGTCACAGTGCTTATCACTCCCCACTCAGAATATACCTTGACACAATTTGTGTCCATTGCCTCTTTTCTTTTCGCTGTGCACCTCTAAGGCTCTTCTTCTGTCTTCTCCAAAATCCCTCTCTGAGTAGTAAAAAAAGCAGCAATCACACTACTCACTGACTCTTTTCCATGCTGAACAATACAGCTCCCTCAACCTCTTCTCATGCAGTGTGTTCCTGTGCCCCAGCAATTTAGTGACTCTGCACTGGACTCCAGTTTGTCAATCCTTTGTACCAGAGGATCCAAAGCTGGATGCTGTCTCTAGATGTGGCCTCACAAGTAGCAAATAGAAGTGAACAAATCCCTTAACTCAGTGGTTGCATTCTTGTTCCTGTAGTCTTATATGTGGTTAATGGCACATGAGTATCTATGTAATGGTAACAGGTCATTGCCAATATAAAGCTCGTTTGAAAAGGCTAAATAGCTGTCATATTATTCCACAGATGCTGTCAGATCTCAGGAATAATGATGATCACCTTTACTTGGAACATTCTGGAGAAATGTTTGTCTGTCTACTTATAAAGACCTTAAATAAAGAAGAGTCTACAATCTCTCTAGGGAACAGTCTGCTATTAGCCATCTTGCTGTTAAGCTATCCCTGAAGTTTGTAAGTCTGTTACTTTTTGTCCGATCCACAATAGGTGTTAGAACAGTTTCCCAAAGTTTTGCTGATGAAGGATTACTCCATGTACAGGCCAACAGTTTGGGAGACGTAACATTAATCTGCAATACACTGCTCAACATAATAGCTACCACTAAAAAGTTCCTTTACAATTTGCCTGTTAAGAAGCTCCACTTTACTGCACACATCTTACAAATGGTGCTCTTGCCAAATATTCCAAAAACATGGTGCTTCCTGTAGAAGTATAACACTGATTAATGTTCAGTCTATGACCTAGGTTTTACTTTCGCCTCTCATCCTAACCCTGATGCTGTCTCACATGTAAGGTCTGAATGCTGTCTCAAATATAAGAATGTGTGTCTACTTTTATTTTTTTCTCTTCCAATTTGTTGCACTGGACTATAAAACTCTAATGAATATCAATGCCTAGTTCACTGTGTGCCCACAGCATATACCATATTATGCCCGTGATGTCACTTTTGGCTTTTAGGTCTTAGCACATTAAGCAGTATTGTAGCAATTAACCTGCTACAAAAATAACAATTAAGCAAGGATTTAATTATCTGGCAATACATAAAGTGTGCAGTTCTCAAACAGACACTTTCCTATCTGTCCCAGCTAAGTTTTAGACTATGTAAAAACAGAATTTGCATTCTCCAGGAGTACTTAATAAAAATGGAGAAGTATTTGGAACAATGGCATTAAAACCAAAGAGCTGTATAGACATTCCTCTTAATTCTTACTTCTGCTGGCAAAGTGGAATTCCCTTCAAGTGACTCATTCAGATTCTGATGATAGGACTGTAACAACAGCAGCAGTCATGTAAAATAATTAGTGGAAGGGGACACAATTCCACTACCATACTTCCACTCTTCAAGAAGAGTCAAATACTGTGACTACTTTACAAAGTGGGCTTACCTTGGTTGCTGTTCTTTTGAGGACTGAGAATAGAAAGGCTTGATCCCATTTCTAATGTTTGCCAAACACCTTGGTAGAAATTAGGTGCTCTAGATGAAGAAGGCTGGACCTGCTGGACTTGACTAGGACTCTGCCTGAGCAGCTCACTTTGAACAATCTTTGAGGATGCATTTGCCTTTTGTTGCTCTGGCCCGTGATTTCCAATAGAGAAATCTAGCTGAACCTGTTTTTTGAAAGGTTGTACAAAATTAACTACAATATCATGACAGTGATTGAGAAACCCTAGTTTATTTAGTGTTAACAAATGCTATTTTGTACAGGAAAAATTAATAATTTAAAAAATACATTGATTTTTAAGTCTTCCAGGAGATATTGAGCAATTTCAATTGAAAAATCCAACTTAAGGTGATTACACTGATGATAAAACTGCACTGTACCTCAGCAGATGGCAATTCCATTTCTTCCCCACAGCTGCTTGGAGCTTCTTCCTTTAAGCCAGGGCAGGCCACTAGAGAAGAGAACCTCGAGGGATGCTGTTGCCTTGCATGTTGCAGCTTCTAATATGAAATATTACATTTACACAAATAACTCATGGTCTCTAAAAATAATACCTTTATAGTTCAGTTTGCTGTTACACTGCTAGATTTAAAATAATCAGTTACAAATAATATTGAACAAAATTACGTTCCCTTCAGATCAACAGGGCCAAACTACCCTCCTAATAAACCTTGTATTAAATCTGTTCAAAATCTGTATTTCCTGATGCTTTTACTATCACTCTGCTTGTTACTCAGGTTCATATTGTCAGGATCATTCTTCACTTTTGTCTTTTCCCATAATTAAATTACAGAAGAAAAAGTCCTAAAGAATACCAAAAACCCCAATTAAAATAAGGCAGCTATGGAAAAGTAATTTGTCAGCAACTAAAAAAAACTAATTTACCCCACAAAGTTTCACCAACTTTCAACATGTAGCAATTAAAGTGAGGTTTGATGAAAAGCAAACTGCTTCAGCCCTGTCAAAGGAGATGAAAATAAACATCGAAGTCTTTTGCTATATATTTAAGGCTAAAGAAACAAAATGTGAGCCCATTATATAAAATAACTGACAGTGAAATTCCTGTAGCTACGACAGTAATAAATTCTCTCAGTTTTTGGTAAGGATGATGATTTTGAACACAGGAGCAAATGTAGCCTGGCTAGTAAGAGTGATCAGCTAGAATAAAAATACCCAGCCTAGAATAACAGTAGTTTTTGAAGGTCAGCCTGGAGCTCAGCTTCAGTGCAGGAGCTGAAGCCTCAGCAGGTATGTTCTGGGTAAAGAGCAGCCCGGAATTAGAGTACTGAATAGCTTGGATATAAGAAGGGCTATACTTTCTAGTCTGGACAAATCACGTTTTCAAATGTTCCTGAGGTGGAAAGATCCTCAGTGACAGCCACTCCAAGCAAGCCACCAGCTGAAGAGACTGAACAACTACTCCCAGAGTTTAGCACACCAGCTGGAAACTCACAGTCAAATGCTACCTCTCCAAGTGCCATGGACATACTGTATTTTTAATATCTATTTATTCTTACAAAAGTAAGAATGATCTTTAATGATTTTTAACAGAACACCTGAGACACAAGATGTGTAGAAAAATACAAACACAGTATCTAGCTCATTAAAAATAAAACCACAGAAGACTGGGATGAATGGGCAATGAGAATTCATTGGTCTTAATTTAAGAGTCAGTTAAATTCTAAGATGAGCTGTGAAAGAAAGAAAAATTAAAGAGTTGAATAAAAAAAAGTTGTAAAAAACATGGGTTTGAATTGTGAGAATTTTGCACAGATCTGGAAATCACCTTTAGCTAGTGTAAGCATTTAGCTAGTCTTTTTCAGACTCAATCCCAGCAGTGCACAGATGGAAAAAACAGGTTACAAGAGGTCTACTCAAATGCTTGCTGTACCCTAATTTCCCATGTAAAAATTATTTTCAGTGTTAAGAGTTTAAGATCACTATTTTTGAAACGGTGAACTGAAAGTTCAAGTGAACAAAGGATGCCAAGCTTGTGACTTCAAGTTAATAAGATGTTCACAAGCATCCTAAACAAATGATCCATCCACAAGCATGCTGAGGCATTCCACAGTAAGTTCTTCTGTTGGCAGACCACATTCCAGGCATTCTGCACACCGTAACAGCTGCCTCACCTATTCCCTTCTGAAAGTCACAGAGAAAGATCAGAATCCTATGCTCAGGACTGTTACGGAGGACCAGATCTGAACTTTCCACCTTGGAGTTTTACAAGAAATTAAAGATTTCCTGCTCCAGAAGTAGCTCATACCACTGTCCCATAAGATGTGTCATTGATATGTCGGCAAGGCTATTTATTTGATGCTCAGTTCTTTTCTCTGAGGACCCTCCTTGCGCTACAACAAGATGCTAATACTTGTGGCAATGCTGTTGTGACAGCTCTTGATCAGGCCCTCAGACTGTCAATGAAGAGTTGAAAAACAGTGCTGCATTACCAGATGTGTTCTCACAGAGCTCAAGTAATTTGAATCTTCCCAGCTCAAAACCCAGATGGCTTTCACTATGTTATGTCTCAAATCGTATTTTTCATGCCCTCACTAGTACTTTTGACTTCAAAACTTGATTAGATAAATTTGCTAAAATATGCCAGATTCTCCAGCACACATTGTGCTTACCTGGCTGACCTCTTACAGTTCCCAATTTCTGTTGTCTAGACTATCTGCTATAACTGAAGGAGAAAAAGTCTCCATTAGCTCTGGAATGGTACAGCAGATGGCATTCTCAGTTTACCACTGTCAGATCAATGGTCTACAATGTTTGTTCACACTGCAACCTTTATACCTTCTTCATTGACTAATGGGCAGTAAAGAAGAACAGGGACTTATTTTCACTCAAGCAACCTGTCAAATTTGGTTCTAATCAACTATTAACAGCATAGCCCTTTGAACTTCAGGCAACCTTCCTCTACCGGACCAGAGAGCCCCTCTTGTTGGATACCTTCTGCTAGGAAGAAGCTAAGAGAAATGCAAATACCTGGGACAAGATGTCCAAATGCAGAGTTCTTCCCTGACAGGTTCCCTTAGAACATATTCCAAAATGTTGCCATAGATTCAATCTGACAAATTCACCTTAGCCAAGAAACATACATATTTGTTTTTTTCACCAAATAATATGCCTTTTCTGTTTGAAATACTGCTGCATACTTTAGATGCTTGGAGATCCTTTTCTTTTCATACTCAAATGTTTGAGCCCTTCAAATAAGTACTACCTGGTTTTACTACTATTCTTTACCCAAGGTAATAGCAATCCTGTGCAGAAGCTGCCTGTCTGCCTAAAGACCTGATAGCCAAACACAGAACTTGACCCTGTCAGTACTTGTTCTCAGATTTAATTGCTGGATGATCTTTGCATTTCAAACTTTTACAGTATTTTCTTAGATTTACTAACCCAGATGTTTTTGTAATTAGTCCAGATAATATCTCTCATGGGTACAATCTGCAGTGCTGTTTTACTTCTCAGGAAAAAAGATATATCTGTTTTCAGCATAACTAAATTGCCAAAAAGATTGGATCAGCTGAGTCACTTAACCTTCATTTATGTAATTTGTAGTACTTATTCTAAGCAACTACATAGGTTAATATGCTTTGTTTTTTTTTTTTTTCTGCACCACTCTTAACTGTAAGAAAATATAATATTAATTAGAATTTACTTCCAGTGGCTCTTTCTCAAGAAACTCACCTTTGTCATTCAAACTGTCTGACCAGATCGTTCATATACTTTGTATTATACCTAGGCCAACTAGGTAACATCTGAAGAATTAGTGATGATTTCAGGCTAAAACCCCGGCAGGATGGCATGCTCACCATGAATGTGTAGTTATTCCATCTTATCTTTTTAGAATGTGTCTGGTGTAAAAATGTTTAAGACATTTTTAGAATGTATTCAGATGGTAAAAATTTTCAAGAAAGTTACTTAAATTTGTGATTTCTTAGTGTAACCTGACAACATGATAGTAATATCTTCTGTGTAGTTTCATATTATCTAGAGATAATACTAGAGATCTTAGTATGTAAAAAGATAAACATTTAATTTCAACCTCCTACATATTCATGGATGAACTTTAATAATCCACAAAAGGGTTCTCAAATCTTTTCTTGATTTCAGTTAAGACAAGTAAGAATACATAAAGGGAGAATTAAAAATAAACAGGATCCTACAGAGGACGTTAGCTTAAATTCAGCTGATTTTTAACCCAAAAGGCAGAGGAGATAACAGTTTCAATCTAATATGCTGGAGGCTGACTGTTTGGAAAGCAGCTCAGCAGAAAAGAAACAAGAAACCTGGTGGACTAGAAGTTGAACATGAGGCAGCAGCACATTTGTGAAGCCTTTGGCAAACAGCATCCTGACTGCACCAAGAAAAGCACTGCCAGCAGGTCACAGGAGGTGATTATTTCCCTCTACCAAGCACTGGTGCAACCACATTTAGAGTACTGTGTCCACTTTTGGGCTCCCCGGGACAAGAAAGACATAGACATACCGCAACAACCACAAACAGCAAACAGCCGCACAGATGACCAGCAAATTGGAATATTTTACATCAGAGAGAGGTCGGGGCAGCTGGCCTTGCTGGTCTCCAGAAGAGATAGGTCAGGAGTGATCTTTTCAGAGCATCTGATGAGGATGGTGGAAGGATATAAAGATGACTGAGCTAGACTCTTCCCAGTGTTATACAGTGGAAGAGCAAGGCAATGGGCACAAAGAAGTACAGGACACCCTGCTGAAGTGTAAGGAAGGCAAAAAACCTCAACCAAATGCTAGTGTTTTTATTGGGAGGGTGACCAAACACTGGAACAACTTGCCCGGAGCTGTTCCCAAAGAAGTATTTCCCCAACTGAACTTGGTTAATAATTCTACTGGAGTTTTATACCTTGGAGCAACAACCTCATCCTTTCTGAAAGAACACTGTTTACTGCCCTCAAAATTACGACGACAATCAGCTGCTCTGACTCAATCCTCACAGGAACAAATCCGCTGATCAATTAAGTAAAGTACATAGTGAAATCCTGACTATCCAAGTTACTGGGAGGTTTGCCACTAACTACTAGGGGAGCCAGGATTTATCCATTTGTCTCTCTGATGAAAGCTTCAATTTAACCATTAAACGTTGTATATCAATTACAAAAGAAAAGAGACAGGTTATCTATATATCCTGCTTTCATATATGGGAAAGGTGCAATTACAATAATTTGGACATGGGTGCTTTAGAATCCCACCATTGTGAATGTTTGAAAATATTCTCACTGATTAATAATTTTAACATTTATCTTAGGACATACTGCAAATATGTCAAATTGCCTTTCCTCACTTACTTATAACTAAGCTTTATAAAACTCACAATTTAGTATTGCATTTGTTGCTGCAAGTGTTTCTAAAATACCTTGGTTGAAGATCATGTTTAAAAATATTACTTTTGAAGTCCCAAACTCTTTAAGCACCTGGGGAAACCCCATCTGGCTGGCAGCCAGTCACTAGTGGTTTTCCCCAGGGCTCAATTTTAAGGTTAGTTCTCTTCACTCTTTCTATCAATGACTTGGACATACAACTTGAGTCCACACTAAGAAAGTTTGCTGATGATACTAAATTAGGAGGACTCACTGATTTCCTTGAGGGTAGAGAGACCTTACAGAGAGATTTTGATAGAATGGAACACTTTGCAATCACCAACTGCATGAAAATTAATAAGAGCAAAAATTATGGATTCTGTACCCAGGACAGTGTAATGCTGGAGGTCTGTATCCACTGGGGGACAAGAGGCTGAAGTGTATCCCTGAAGAAAGTTATCTGGGGAGTTTGGTTGCTGGCAAGCTCAGCGTGAGTCAACACGTGTGTCCTGGTGGTCAAAAATGCCAACTGTGTCCACAGTGCGTTAAGCACAGCACAGCTGAACGACCAAAAAAGTGACTGTCCCACTATGCTCAGCATTGGTGTGGCCTCACCTTGAGTCTTGTGTGCAGTTTTGGGCTCCATAATATGAGAAGGATATAGAAATACTAGAATGTGCCCAAAGAAGAGCAACAAAGATGGTGAAAGGACCAGAGGGCTAGATTTCTGAGGACTGGCTGAGGATACTTGGCTTGTTCAGCTTAAAAATGATGAGACTGAGGAATGACCTCCTTGCTGTCTATAACTTCCTCAAGATAGGGAGCAGTGTAGGAGGTGCTGATCTCTTCTTTTTGGTGTCCAGTGATAGGATGCAGGGCAATGGCTTAAAGCTGCATCAGGGGAAATTCAGACTGAATATTAGAAAGAAGTTCTTCCCTGAGAGGGTGGTCAAGCAGTGGAACAAGCTCTCCAGAGAGCAGTCATGGCCCCAAGCCTGTCTGTGTTCAAGAAAAATTTGGGACAATGCCCTTAGATACATGGTTTAACTTCTAGGTTGTCCTGTCTGGCATCAGGATTCAAAGATCCTCATGGGTCCCTTCCAGCTCTGGATATGCTATGATTCTATGAAATCTTCCAAAGATAGATTTGAGCTAAAGTCAGAAAGAGTCCTTTAAATGTGGAATTTTAAGGAAAGTTACATTCATGAAATTCGAACTGGCTTAATGGATCATTATCACTAAATTTTAATTATATAATTACCTGCATTGTGAGTCTGTGCTGTAGATGTTTTAGAGCTGATAGCTGACACTGTGTTCTTTTGACAAGTTCTCTTGGAAGCAGACTACCAGAGGCAATACAAACTGTGCAGCGTTTAGAGCCAACAGGATGCCAAAGTCCTATAAAGGAGAGAAAATACCAAGGAACGCATTCTTGGTTGTTATTTTGTATCAGTATTACATTCCCAGCAAGTGTTTACAGCAGATAGGGATGAACCACAGAACACAGGCCTTCTCACTGCAGATGGTTTCAATGCTATGCAGAAATGGGCCTCATGGTTTTCTCCTTTGCTTCATTGCCAGAGAAACTGTACATGGAACATAAATATCTACAATGTTAATCAACAAAAGTTACTACATACAGACTCTCATTGTTCTATATTAGCATCGCCTATCACAGGATAATCTTACTTGCAACAATTAGCACCACAGTCTCACACAAACTATGCAGATCAAGGATCAGTCAGGTCCAGCACTTTGTTTTCATATTAAAGCCCAGTTCTCCCCAGCTCAAAGGATTCCCAGATTTTATTCTAAATATATGTTAGCACTCTTCTGTAGAATAAATTTACCTTCCTTTAACATCATTCCAAGTTCTGCCCTGAGTCTGTTTCCCATTTCAATCAACTGCCACCTCTCTTGGTTTAGGACTGAGATTTTTCTTGCTGCTTCCTTCAGTTTATTTTCCATTCCCTGCAGATTATGTCTGACACCATATTGAAGCTCAACTCCGGGACCTACATCAGGCAACTCTTGTCCAAGATCTACTATCTCTTCTTCAAGAACTGTGGGTTCTGGTCCCTGAATAAAACAGATAGTGTTTGTAATGAATATTTTGAAAGTGTGGTCTGCAGGTTGAGAGATTTGTACAAACACGCATTAGAATCCAGTTGAAGAAGAAGTGTAAAGTTAAGTCTACCACCCATTTTTTAGGGTCAATTTCCAAGATTTTGTTAGCAATATATGGCAAATGAAACTGTGGAGCAAAACACTATAACAGACTGAGACATCCTCACAAATACTGTTAATTGTGAGTATAAAATAATACAGACAGGATAAACACCACATAACTGTAAACAAAAGAGCAGTTAATTTTAAGATAAAATGTGGGAAAAACCCACTTTATAGCAAATAGCAATCTAGCACAAACTTTTCTTTGTTTAATCATCGTGTACATACACACATAGGGGGTAGATCTGACTTAAAATACTGTTTTAAAGAGAAAAGGCTGCCAAAGAAAAGCAAAGATTATACAGTCTGTTTTGTCTCTGCAAAACTGAGTCCACCTGCACATATACATAACGATAAAAGTACTTACTCAAAAGATAACATCCTTGGTTTTCAAGAGCTATATACTTGCCTCTTGCAGCCGCCACAAAGGGCATTTTTTGATATCCATTTAAATACTCACCATTCACTGAACAAATCATCTCCCTACAGACATTTTAAATTTCACACATTGCCACAAGTATCTAAATATATCCCATGCATTAAAATCATTTAACAAAACTCTTGCTCAACTGTATGTTTACTCTTTTATACATAAACTAGTTACAAGTGTACTACACTAACTGTACAACCCCAATTAGTTTTCAAGTAAATCACCCTGTACAGTACGATTCAAGAAGTACACATTGAAAGCTATTATTCATACTGGCAAAAAAAAAACAACCGCCATTGCCTTAGCATGCCATGCAATTCCCTTTTCCTAATTCCTTTGGAGAGTTTTACCATAAAAGGGAAGGCTCTTGAGAACGTACATGGAAAGCACACAGTTCTACAAACTCTGTGGGGGAAAATGGTAGAGAAATTAGTGCAGGACTAGAATCTAAAAATACTAAGAAAGACAACAAAGTAAAAAATAAAAAGGAACATCACTGAGACACATTTGGCAATTTATATAAAAGAAATCAATATAAGTAGCCCCAAATTATTACATTCTCCTTCATCATACGAACAGTGAAATTAACAAGCAAGGCTCAGCATAAAGAGAGGTGAAGGTAATGACTCATTACAGCCCCACTGGTTGTCACACTGTGCCATCTTCACCAGACCAAAAGGCAAAAGCACATCACATGGCTGGGGCAAGGAATACCATTTGCTTAAACTTCTCTTTTTCCTGAACTTTTCAGAAAAACATTCAAAAGCATTACACGGAAATTTTTTTGTCAAGTGACAGACTGTAAACTGTAGAGTTAGGATTGGAACTCAGATCTTTTTACTTTTAGATCTGTTTCCAGAGCAATACTCCACAGTACAAAAGAGAGAAAACACTGATAAAGTGAGTACTAAAAAAGAGGGGGAGGAAAAACTCTTCTCAGAGCTGATACAAAAGAAAAATATACACACAGAAGTTTACATGCCTATTTTACTAGTTTCCACAATAAACTTTCCTCTTTAGCCCTGGAGTCTATAATTTCTAGATTATGGTCACAGAACCTCTGTTATATTAAGTGGAAAAAAGAAAACCATTGCTATGGTTCTCTTCACATCTGCACACCCCTGTTTAGTTACCATTATTGCTCAACAGATTCTGGACTCCCTGAGGTAGAAATATTTTTGCCTATATTTCTTCATGGCCTTAAGTACATCCTTAGCATGCAATTAATAAACATAAGAAGTACAGAAACAGTATAGAAGAAAGTTAAAGATAAGCACTTCTAGAATCCAGTAAGAAATTCTAATGAAGTTTTGCCCATTATTTTTAAGATATTTTCAGAACTCTTTCCAGCTCCCAGTCTATGTCAGGCTTATGCCAGCTCCCTGTCTAAGAAGGCTTATTATGCGCTAAGAAAGAAAAAAATGCAACAGACAGCAGAAATAGCCAGGAAACAATAGGTCAACTTCAGTGACGACAGCATTAAGTACAAATCCAGCATTTTATTCACTTGAAGTTTTGGCCTGCACATTTACTATTTAGCACGTGTCCATACATACAAAGCACAATTAATTCAGCATTTCATGCTGAAGGTGCACATCTGCCTGAAAAATGTTCCTGTTCTCATATTCGGCCATAAGCATTCTATTATAGTTTAGCATAATGAAGCAAAGGATTAACCTCTGGAACAGAAAATGTTAATTTCCTATTTTACAGTCTCCAAGGCAAAGTCACTCTCTACTTTTCTTTGAAGGCTCTTTCCCGACTTAAAGAAACACAAAGAAAATGAGAATGTGTCTTGGAGAGTAGTTTGTAAAACATTTTCTGCAACAAGAAAAGAATAATCAGTATAAAATTCAGTTTTCACCTAGTTCTGGAAGTGGCCAAAGAGAAAAAATAAATCTGTGCTGTCTATACTGGCACACAATGATTTTCAAAATATGATTTGACAGCATGAACAAACAAATCCCCTTCTATGTTCAGCAAAGATTAAGCATGATCCTGGTAGGTTTTGCATTTTTTCCACACAAGGTTCCCAGGGCTCCAAAGTTTTATTTAAACATTGATATTGTTTCAGTTTTTTAAGCTCTTAGTTTTTAATGTAAACAGCACCTCTCATGCTTATTTATTACTTATCTATTATTTCAGTTTTCTTGAACTTAGATGGTTACTGGTGAGTCTTAACAATAAGATTAAAGCATGAAACAGATATTGTTAGATTTTATGACAATTAGAAACCCATTATTTTTGAATTGTATTTTAAACTATCTTACTTCAGACTGTTTACTGCACCATGAATTTGCTGGGAGACAGGAAGAGGAGAACATACAGTGACCTACTCCTTACATAGTATTAGATATTTGTCCCAGTTTTCAATTCCATTATTAATTTTTCTCAAGAGATGCCACTGTCATACATTAATGTTGATATTTTTGCTACTCTTCAAATAACACAGTGGGAATGACATTTGCAAACCCTTGAACTGAGCAAAACATACTCCCAGAGCCAGTGGGTTTTTCCTTCATGGGTGGTGAGCGCTCCAAGACAGCAGTGAGGCTTGGTACTTTCTCCTGTTCATACTGGGTCACATTTAGATTTACAAGAATGGATTTACAATGGAAAACTTTAGGAGGTGATACACAGTAGCTTAAGCATTTGAAAGGGGGAGGAAAAAAAAATCAAGACAAGCTTGAAAGATCAAGAGTGACTTGGGCCAAGGAGTGACTCGTCAAAATTTATTGCCTAGAAAGAATGAGCAAAAATTCGGTTGAAAAAAATCTTTGCTGGCTCTCATCTAACTGGCCATATAAGCATATATTACTTCAGTTTATAGTATGCATTCAAATAAAAATAATGTGCTTTGCATTTAATTACACACACACACACATAGAGATATTTCAGGTAGTTTAAACCTCTTCATACCTTTTCTGTGTCTGGGTTTACTATACAGTCCAGCTTAGTTGAGCTGACTTTGATGTTGCTCAAAGTGGTTGCAGTTGAAATTTTGTTTGTGCTCACCGAACCTAAAAGAGGAGTATAAAAGCAACAGCTGCTTTAGAACATTGTCTCATGAATATACATGCTTAGAATCATAGCATCATTTATGTTGGAAAAGACCTTTAAGATCATCAAGTCAAACCATTAATAGGACACTGCTAAGTTGACTGCTAAAGCATGTTATCAAGTGCCACATCTACATGTCTTTGAAGTGCCCTAGAGGGATGGTGACTCAACCATTTTCCTCGGCAGCTAGCACCAATGCTTGAATAACCCTTTCCGAAAAGAAACTTTTTCCTAATATCCAATCTAAACCTGCACTAGCATAACTTGAGGTCATTTCTCTTGTCCTGTTGCCTATTACTTGGGAGAAGAGACAGATCCCACCTCACAACAACCTCGGTAGCTGTAGAGTGGTAAGGTCCCCCCGAGCCTCCTTTTGTACACCACTTCAGTAGATATACTGTAAACCCCATGGGAGGGAGGTTTGGACTAGGAGATCTCTAAAGGTCCCTTCCAACACAAACCATTCTGTTGCTTCACTAGCAGGAACTCTGTCATAACCTGTAATATACATGTATTTGCTTTACTCATGTAATATATATATACATTTGCTTTTCTAGTGGTAATTTTGTAGTGACTTATAGTGTGTGTGTGCATTTGTTTTTACTAATAATAGTTTTGTAGTAATTTGTAATGAAGAATCTCAGATAGCTGTGTACTTATGTACTGTGCAATCTTGAGAACCCCACAGCAACGAGTTTTACACACCCAAGGGCTGGATAGCCCTCATAGGTTGTGACCGTGACTGCTACACTTCCTTACAGAATTTAAAGGTCTTTGGCAAGAGTTGTTACCTTGCTCTACAAGTTGTCTGTTTTCTGTCAGAGGAAGAGAGGACAACATCTGCTCATCAAGACTCTCCATTTCTTTCCTCATTTGTGCAATAGCAGCACGAAGGCTGGCATTCTGCTTCTGCAGCTTTTTTATTTCCAAGGTAGGAATATCTTTGCACAGGGAAGTTTTATCATCATACTGAAACACCCAGAAAAAAAAAAAGTACAACACAATAAAAACCCTTCATTGATAAGCAACCCATATTGTCTTTACACACCACACACACAGATCCTAAAACTTACAACCCATGAACATACGTGGGAGAAAAGAACCATAGGAGAAAAAGAAATAGATCTGGTTATTGAGGATTTTCCAGGGAAAAAGGTGCTATGCTGAGAACATCATAGGAGGCGGCATAACTGGGGAGGACCATGGGCACAGAGGTGGCTCTGTCTTGTCACTGTTGTTCTGTAACTGTGCTCTCTCTGTCTCTTCCATGGACCCATCTCCTTAAAGAGCTTACTGGCTCACCAGCAGTCTCCTTTCTGACCTGTCAAATTCTTGAAAGTGTCATTGGAGATCATCTGTTCACAGTAACATAAAGAGGCTGGATGTTCTTTGCTAAACAGAAAAAGGGGAAGGAGTGTATGGATTACAGCCAGATAACTTGGACAGTTGACGGTATCTAGAAAACCTCCAAGCATTTCAATTTAAAGTAAGTAGCAATGCCCTTCCATTGCATGTTAGATAAGCTAACAACAAGCATTGTAAAAGGAACATTTGTCAGATAATGATCGAACCTCTACCTTCATAAAGGCCTTGAAGCCTGTCTTCTCTTAATAATACTTGGTGGAAGTTTGAATGGATAAGCAATAGACTTCCAGAACTGAAGAGGCTGACAAACCCCAGATTGCCAAGGTTGCCTTTTACTATAGAAGACCTTATTTATATAAGTAAAATATGAGCAGCTTGCTTACAGAGTAATATATCACAGAATCACTCTATTTCAAAAATTTTTGATGGAGAATTGCTCCCTTTTCTTCATGGGCCACATATAGTCTTAAAGATTATCTTGGAGAGTTTAGTTTGGAAATCTAGCCCTATGTGCATAAAGTAATGGCTTAATCAGGGCAAAAATGTGAGATGCTCTGGATCACAAGCCAGAAGAACTGCTTTAGTCTGTTCTACCAAAGGTTGCTAGCTCCAAACAATAGTCAGCCACATATGTTTAGGAAAAAGGACAAATACCAAAATGCTTCCTTCCTCTTACATGCCTCCTCAATTTCCAAATTTGCAGCTTTTGGTGATGGAAAAGAAAGGAAAACAAAAATAACTCAAAAACTAAAACACACAGATATTGATTGGAAAACACGTCTTCTGTTCACTTGAAATTCCAGCACAATCTTCAGGGAAAAAAAATCTAGTAGGATCACTGGGATATAAGGACCATGATATTAGGGTCTTGACAGTATTTACTTTTGCTGTTTCTTCATTCAAAGTGTGTCTGCAAACATTTTTAAAGAAGTTACATTAGACTAGTGGCGGTGTATTTTAACTGTGGTTTTATCAAAACAGAGAATGCATACTTTAGTTTCCACTCATGTAAAATCCTCTCTCACTGACATAGAAACATTTGTCATCATCCATCTAAGAAATGCAGATACTATTTGGTACAGGAGTATTGGAAAGCTCTGCAACAGCAGAATATACATTTCTCCAGTCACTAAAGAAATCCTAATTCATAGACCACCCAGATCAAATGTTTTTGAAAACAAAAAGACTATGAAATGTGTTTGGAGCATTTGTATTAAATGTTGCTAATTTTAAATGTTTCTTTGAATTCAACCCTAACCTTAAATCATTGCAAAGCAGCAATTCTGCCTCTTCAGAGGGCATGGCAATTCATGAGGCACTGTATGTAAAACACGTGTGAGCAAATTACTTCAGTCTCAACATTTATGCCTTGTACAGCCTCAAACACTACTCCCTTTCCATCTTCTCCATTATTCCCTCTTTCCTTCAGTCCCCTTATTTCCCCAGTCATAAGGCTGTTCTGTGAGTGTGACCTGAAATGCTAATAGCCTTCAAATTAATTTCCCTATCATAAAGGCAATGTCTGCCCTAGAGTTTCTTTCTCTTGGGGCTCTTTCTGCCCTAACAGTACATGGTACGTAGAAGATGAGGATAGTCTATTCTGCTTTTACAGTCTCTCCAAGGTTGTTAAGGTGAGGAGGGGAAAGGCACCAGGAGGTACCAATACATCACCCAGATGTGTTCTGAATTTTGGGGCCCTGGACTTCATCTCAACTTGCAACAAAAACATGAACCATCACAGTTTCAACCAGAAATACAGCTGTTCCAGATTTTTGTAAGTGGAAAAGGGTCCAGGGAGAACACCACATAATTATCCAGAATTACTGTAAGTAATCTTTCCTTATCTATGCAATCCTATGGTATTATCAGCATGGTCTAGTTAGACAAATATGACCTAAGTCATACTAAAAAAATCAGTTATAAGCAAGATTTTCCAGACTGCTGTGTTTCACATCTCTGTTGCTTAATTAAAGGCTGAGAATGACTACTACACTTCACTTTGTATAGAAAAATTACAGGAAAAGGTTCTAGTTCAGAATAGTAGACTTTTTTTTGTTATTTAGTTTTTTAAACACTGGCCCTTCCCATAAATCAGAGACCAAAAAAGTCTTTGCTGAGATGGGTACTGCTTATCCTACAGGCCAAAAGTGCAAAAACAAGAGTATTTTAACAACAGAAAGAAAAGTGTGACAATGAAAACAAAAGTCTTGTCAACAACAGTTGAAGACAACAGCAAATGTGAACAGCTAAAAAACCCCTGCCCAACCTTGCTTCCTTCAGTATCTCAACGATCAATTCACAGACCAGTACAGTCTGAAATGAAATTGGAAAAACAACTTGCTCCATAGCAAGTTTTTTATGCTAGCAGTCTACTTTTGTCTGATAAAAATTCAGAAAGTATCTTTCTGAATACAACACTCCTGCATTCAGGAACTACTAGGCTTGCTTAACACTACTTTTTCTTACTTCTTCTTTTTCTTTCTTTCTTTAAGCTCTGGTAACATGCTCTGAACTGCTCACTGTTGAGCACCTGTAGCTGCCCAGTAGAGTGCACTGCAGCGCACTCTTTACTTTCATTTATTTACAAAAGACAATTTTCTACTTATAATGCATTATCCTTCAGCATGGCTTCAAACCAGCGTTACGCTTGCAATTCTGAATGCATATTTAAAATATATGGATTTTAATAGGTAGCAATGAAAGGAAAAACAGTGATACTGAAATATAAGACATTATTTTATACCGCTGGCATATTAGTATTTCGAAGCTTTGCCTTAAAATTTTAACTTTACAACTTAAAATCTACCTTGAACTGCAACTGACATAGAACCTCAGGAACATTCCAGAAATTAATTCTTCCCATTCTGATGTGCCACGATGGTACACTACATTGTCGTGTTTTGGAGTAACTGTCTACATCCAGCTTGCGCCTTTTGCCAGTGACTAATAAATGAGAGCCATAATTGAGCCTGTGACATCTAATCTATGTGCATTCCAGGCTAGATATGTCTATCTTTTGAATAAAATATATGAAACAGATGAACTGCTTACAGTAAATCCAGTGGAATCAAGGCTCATAAAGTTGACATCTCAGAATGTCTGCACTAGTGTCTAACGCTAAGTGTTGTCTAATCTGTTTCTCCCCTTCAGGTAAAATACTGATTAAATGACGCTTGTACTGTCTGTTCTTTCTCAGCAGCCAAAGCAGAAAGAACAGTCTTCACTTTATGCAACCTGCAGTCTGTTTTCTGTAGATCAGCTTCAACCCAGGAAAGAGGGAAAAGACAAAAAGCAGAGAATGCCAGTAGCTCAAGGACAAAGGGATGGAGAAAAGAAAAAGGCAAAGAAAGGAAGGGAAAGGGAGAAGAAAAGGAAAAAAGGAAATAAAAAAAGAAAAAGATCAAAAGATATTTTAAATCATAGCACAGGGACTTAAGCACATCCCTTTTGGCTCTGTCAAAAACCGCCTTCACAGACAAATAATTTAGCTTCATTGTCTCATCTTTATGTGAAATGGACAATGCTGATTCATCTCTCACGTGTTCCTGTGCTGCAGCTATTGATGCCTATGAATCATTTTTGAAAGACAATGATAAAATAACACCAGAGTAAATGCCTGCATTCTAAACTTCATAAACAAGTGTTTCCTCTGTACCCATGAGTTTACTAGGCAATCTGGCATGAAGAGCTGATAGCCCATTGTGTAATAGTCTCTAAACAATAAAAATGTATTTAATTAAATGCATTTAATTTTTCAGAAACAGAAGCTGGTACACTACACAAAATAGATTTTTTCCCCCATACAAAAATACTCAGTTTCTCAGGTTCCCTTGACAGAATTCAAGTGGTACTGTGACCTGAAATTCTTTTTGGCCTGGGGCTGCTCTAAGAGAGATCTTTCTTCTTTTGCTAAAATGGCAAGACAAAAGCAGTGACATCTCTCAAGATGACTTGATTTCATGAAAAGGGAGAAAAGGCCACTATTACAGATTGTTCATGAAAATTAATCTAGTCTCTGATCAGATATGTGTGGTGAACTACTGTGCTCCATACAGAATTGCTATTTTACATATTTTTGAAAGAAGACCAAAATCATACTTCCCCAAGAAACACCATGGTGGAAAAAACTCCATAGGTCTCTCTGCAACAGATGATTCTTAAACAGTGTTAATTTGAAACTCTCACCTCCTCTCTTGACGAAGACAGGCTTTGTGTTAGATCCTCTGATTTCTGATACCGATTATGTTCAGCATTCTCACAGAGCTGTTGCCAGTTTAGTTCTGTTTGCATTTTACTCTGTTCTAGAATCCATTCTTGATCAGCTGCTAGAGGCAGTTGCTTATATCTATGATACCAAGAGCAAAGCTGTTGATTTCAGCAGAATAAATAACTAAGGACGTTTTGCGGTGTTTTTTGACATACCCTAATGTGGTAGGTACAGCACAGGGGAATTTAAAGAAACACGTCAGCCAAACCGTATCCTTTGCAAAATAAGATCTGATTCAATAACCATCACAGAGAGAGGAAAAAAAAGAAGTTAATTTTACAAAAAAACCCCACCATCTTATAGACATTAAAAGTTCAATTCCTTTACAGCCATCTGAGTATCTGTAATACGTCAAAGACTAGGCATTACAGAAATAACTGATCTTCATTTTAACTTTTAGAGGTGCAGAAAAGTGCTATCTCTCTCCAGTGCTAAAAGTTGTGGGTATTTTCCACTTCTTTATTTTTTTAAACTGGACACTTCATTCAGCAAATGGGGCAGAACAGTCTTGAGATATACAAAAAGAAACCAAATGAAATTATTTCAGCTTTTTTTTGCCACAGTTCAAAGAAAAATTTTAAACATAAGATAAAAAATCTTAACAGAAGTTAAATTTAGATTATAAGCATACGAATGAAGGGATATTGTTTACTATGTACAATCTACTACAAGCAGCTAGAACATCCATCTTCTTATGCATACATGCATATATATATGGAAGTAGTGCTGATAAACATTTAACTGTTTCCCTCTGGTTTTGCAGGACGACAATAGAAACAGTGCAAAAAGTGGTCACTAACAAATCTCACGAAAAAAATTTAAAGGTACACTGTAGAGACTTGTGTTCACTAGTCTAAGCTTTTTGTTTAAGGTAAGCAAAACTATTCACTAGAATTAGAAAGGAAAATTTTGGCTGCATTCAAGAGGCTTTTAAATTGTATACTTGCAGAACTACTAAAGAGTTAGAAAAATAAAGCATTACTGAAAAGTTGTTAGAAAAATACTACCATGTTTTCTACTCTAGAAACAAAGTGACAAGGGGGCTGCTGGGAGACAGGAAGCTATGGGAAAAACTTCTTCCCTCCCTCCCCAACTTGTTCCCTGAATTTCAATTTAAATGAAAAGAATCAAAACAGTCATGTGGTTTGTCATTTTTGGGAAAACAAAAATCTGCTGTTAAAGGACTTTACATTTCAATCCCAACTAAGAACAATACTACATAATGGTCATTCTGCCGTGAAATTCCTCCGAAGTAATACTGCAAGTTATTCTGACACATGGAAACACCAGTAAAGACACCACTGAGAAATTGTGACACTTATGCTTCACACCACCTATGTCTTGTAAGTGTATGAAAAACTATTCATAAAGAAGGCACGGATTTTCCAGAAAACTAAACTCTTGCAGTGAGCTGCCATTCAGGTGGCTAAACTGATAAGGTAATGAAAAAAGTGTTTGAGAGATACTACTTTGACAAGTTCAGTTGATAAGTCACAACTGAAATTTGAAAACAAGAGGATGAGATCACAAGGGATTTTTGCTAATTGATACTACATCATGTGTTAGATTAAAAGGAATGACTGCAAGGAGATCCAATGGCAATGCTTCTTTAGTTGTAAGGCATAAACAATGGAGATAACTTTTGTCCTCCTCCAGTGGAGTAAGAAAAATTGTGTGTATGAGATGCTGTACCCTTGTGCTTGCAGAGAGCAGCTAATTAGCTTTATCGTTACAGTTCAACCGCACAATGCACAACAATAACTTCCAAACCAAGCCAGCTCTCAAGTATTGCTCAGGTGAGCAGTGCCCATACTTCTTTGGGTACGTTCATAAATTGCCTCTGGAGAACCAACGGGCAAGAGAGCCCTGGATGAAGCTATGTTATTTTAGCAGGACTGAGGGCAGCGAGATGTGGATCAGCAGGTGCTGCCTGCAAGACACAACTGTCCAACAATACCATTTCATTTATATTATATATTGGTTTGGTTGACAGGTCAAAAATTAACTATTCTAGTTCTAACAATTAAACACATTCATATGTAAATATGTAAAAGTGATTTCAGTATCAAACACATTTTTATAAAAAAACTAAGAAGGGAGGTTTTGTTGCTCTTTAAAGTTTGTAATATATAGAGAGGTTGTATAATTCTGCCCTAGAGTATCACAGTTGAAGGTCAAATTTCACTGTTAGTCAGATGATCCTTTTATGGTGAAATGACAGGAATATAAGAGGTAGAAGGGAAAAAAAACCCTTGTAATTAGGAGTATGATAAAAAATGTATATTTACCCATCTTGCCTAAGTCTACCTCTGATTTCTAGATGCTGACCTTTCCTGCAAATTCAAGGTTAACGAATTTAGCAGTGGGCTGTCTACATAAAATAATCTTACACAATCTCAGATTACTAAACACATTCTCAGCAGTTCCTTACAAGGGGCAGCTGTCCGACAAGCAAAGCAGCAGCTGCTACACAAGCAGGGCATAATCTGTAATCATAAATATAATCAATTTTTAGAAAGAAATAGGAAAAAAAGCTTATATGACTATAGCAATGTTAAACCAGAACAAGCTAATTAAAAAATATAAAATTAAAAAAAGGATTTCTAAATGGCAGTGCAGCAATACAATATTGTTTCTCCAACATTCTTATACCCATTTCTGACATCAATCTCTCCTTCCAGTTCTTGAATTTTTGCTCCATGTGAAGTTTCAGGTTCACATACTCCTCATGCTGATGACCTCTGTAACTATTCCTAGAGCTATAAACAAAAATAAAACAAATTTACATTAAAAAGCATCTCTGGTGAACTAATGAGGCATCCATATGTAAATTTTTTTAACAATAACACATAATTATAAAGACAAGATGCTATAATTTCCTAAAGAAAGAGTCACCGTAACATCTCTTTCTCATCAGCTGAAACCAATTATAACAGTATATGTTATATCCCAAAACAATGCTTCAGAAGTTGCATACAAAATATGGAGGATCTGCTGAAAAGTAGTGCAGGACTTCTGCTTAAGTATAATGGAGTTCCTCTTGCACCCAAAAATTTCAGTTACATAAGAAGAAACTGCAAAACAAGAGCTGACCAGCAGAAATCTGATCTTTTAGATACATTTAGATACAACTCCACATCTTTTCCTATCCTCCTACAGTATTTTTATTTGCTATGAAAAAAAAGTTTCTCTGAGATACAGTGGAAGAATACCAGTAAGGTCAGGATTTCACACAAATTCGAAGAGCTGCTACTAATACTTTATGTGACTAGTAATGATACACTGAACCTTTTCAAGTTATGTATTCATCCCTGCAAGACTTATTGATATCATCCCTCAAGATTTATTGATATCATGCTGTTCTGCAACCTTCTGGTTACTTTCAACTCGATATTACAGTTATTTTATGTAGCTGAATGACCACTGCATTTGGTGAGATAAGATTGATCATATAAATACATAGACAGAACTGTGAACTAGAACAGGAGAGTCACAAATATCTAAATGGATATTCACTTTCCTATTCTGCTAGATTTTGCTTTTAAATTTACACTTCACCTGAATTAAGCTGAATGCTATAGTCAACACTTATGCATACAAATAAAATCTATAAGAAATGCTGTCTCAGTGTAGTCTAGACAGGTACTTTTACAACTCCCTTGTTCATCCCAAAACTCTTCAGGGCAAGGCAGATCAGAAGAATAATTGTTGTATTGCTCAGTGATCAGTATTCAGCTCAGCCTGGCAAAGAGGCAATGCTGGGTCTAAAAGACTCAAGCTCCTCCTTCCATTCCCAAAGGATATGCTCTGGGAAAAATTCCCGAACTGGCTTTAAATGAATTTGCATATATTCCAGAACCACAGTAACATCATTTAGTGACCTTTGACAAATTCCAGAGTCTTGCCCAGATCACTCACAATAACTAAAAAAAGTTATTTAAAACTTACCCAGCCACCTCTACATTATAAATGTAGTTTGACCCAAAACGGTTTACAACACTTTACAGCAGTTTACCATTTTAAGCTGAGAATAATCCCAAAGATACCGTTACAACTGAAGACATTAGTTACATTAATAAAGAATGATCTGCAGACAAAACGAAAGAACAGTGTTTATTCCCTCCACCCTACAAACTGCACACTTATTTCTCTTTTCTTCAAGACATTTATGATGAGTCAAGTCACAGTCCAGCCTTCTTTTTTATCAGCAATATTAACTGCCACGTCCCATTTGTTTTCTCCTAGTTTTAAAACTAAAAAGAAAATAAACAACAGGGAGCCTGTGCTGTTATTGGCAAAACCTTTTACTTGCTTCACTTCCATCTCTTTCTGTTGTTTTTTCTCCATATTTGTCTCGTATCTAATTGTAAATTCTGCAGAAGAAAAAAACTCCACATTATCTCTAAGCACTATGATTGGTTAAAAAAAAAGTTTAAAAAATGGTAATTTCTGCTCAGATCTCTCCAGAGATTTGGGAAAATCTCTGGAGTCAATATAGCTTCTCTCACTGTGCAGTATTACTCTGTGTCAGTGGTTATAGATAATCCCTTCTGGATAAACACAGGATGCACAAAACAAATCGGACAAGTATGCCTTTCAAACAGTGGCTCTTTAATCTCTTTAAATGAGAGATTTTCAGATCAGCAAATATAATGCAGTATCTCTCTGCTAAAGGATGCCACAACTTAAATAACATTTTTTTCACAAACAAACAATTCTAATTATCTAGGATAAAAAAATTAGTCTCTGATCATTGGACGTGATAAGTATAAAAGAATTCAACTTGCTTTTCCCAAGTACATACACTGAGTAACAAACCCTGCTAAAGGACACAATGATCTGGTGGCCTTTCAATTCTGCCAGCCTAGATTTCACATTTCTCCCCAAGACAATTAAAATAAAATTATGTTTTCTCTTCATATTCTGCATGTTGTTGGCAATGGTCAAATCATGCTACCATGTACAAATAGTATAAGTAATATCTTCTTCCTTTGGGTAAGGAGAAATAAATGTTTTTTTTAAAAGTCACTGTTGTGGATATTCATGTCTCCCTTCCTATAACATGCAACACTAAGAAAGATATGTTCTTTCTGTCTCATCCTTTCAGCTACAGTTGCTCCAAATCCATCTGATGGCTACCACAGTTAAAAAGATTAACTAAATCTGACTTCCTCCCTCCACCATGATCATAAAGACATTAAAGATAAAAAATGCTTATGCGATGCTTTCTGGACATCAGGCAGTGAAAGATACTATACTCAGTTTATACCCACTAAGGCATCAAAACACTTTTACAAGTGCCTTTTAAAAACCTGATGTATGTTTTATTAGTTAAAATTAACAATACGTTATTAGACACGACCTTTGCACAAGGAATGAAAAACAACACCACAGCTCCAGCCCATTGCTTCCTTGAAATTATCCAACTAAAGTCACAATTTTTCTTGGAAAGAGGTGATTAAGAAAAACGATACTTCTTTTACAATCTTTCTCTAAAATTATCCTAAAATTAAAAAGCATCACACCATTTCCTATAAAAACAATCTTCCTCTCAATCTCCATAGCTCGAATTAATGCTAAACTGAAAGAGGTATTCTGAGGCAAGTTTGGGTTCCATATAACATAGGAATCATTAATTCCCTATAAAAATATAAATTAATGACCCTTCTTGTAATTTTAAAACATTGTTTTCCATCACAAAGAACAGTATTTCTTAGAAATGCAATGTAATGCGGACAAAAAGGGCATTTTGCCTTTGAGAGCAGCAATATTTATAATTGCAAGTTGGTTTCAATAACGACCATTATGTAAATAACAGTGTAATTTTAAATATAAATTGCACCAATTGCCTGGATGTCTTGTAGTCACAAGAAGAACAGTAAACCAAAATATGGTGATAGCAAAAGATGACTCAGGAAACAGCATTCACGTAAGAAAGAACATATTATAACAAGCACAGTTTACCCCTACAACCTAACCAGCAAAATTACCCATTGCAATCCAACCATTTACTTCAGCATATACAGAAAGAGGAGATTGATAGGTACTCTGCTCACTCTCATAAGGGCCTAACGGGACTTATGTCAGTTTCTTCAAAAAAAAAAAGAAAGAAATCAAAAAAACAACCAATAAACCAAAAGCTCCAACCAAAAAAAAAAAAAACCAAACCAAACCAAAACAAAAGAAACAAACACCCAAACCAAAACAAAATCACCCCCCCTCACAAACTTGGCTGCAAATCACACACAACGGAGTGTGGTTGGCATATCTGATTCAGTGGAGACTTTGCAATTGCTTCTACTAAAATGCCATGTTTGAGCTAGTCATCTTTCAATCAAATAAGAGCAAGGTGATGCTGAAGAACAGAGTAATTCTTGAGAACCTTCAGACTTCCATACAACCCCTATTTGTCAAAGAAGTGTAAAGCTTTACAATTTTCTTCAAAGTATAAAGAAACTGAACTCACTTCTCTCTTCCTTGCTATCCTTATATCTAGCTGTTTCACAGCGTGCTGCAAGATGAAACAAGCAGTCAGCATAGACACTGATTTGTGACCTCCAGTCAATATAGGTCCTCGAAAAAATTATGACCATCACTGATACAAGTTAGCATCACTTGTGTGTTGTCTCTTTCTTTACTCCTTGGAGGCAGGTTTGCCATTTACCTTTCAAGTAAGGTCAGATATATGAAACAGCAAATATACATCATGCATTATACAATATGATCGAAATAGATAAAATACAGCAGAAGCTGAGGGATAGGATAAAGACCCAACAACAAACAAAAGAAACCTGGTAGCAGGGACATAACTTGGGCAGAGTATGTGGTGGGCTATGTTGCAGGGTACATTGCACCCTACATGGGGTATGATGTCAGGCCCATTCCGCAGGGCAGATAGAAGACTAGGAGGCATAATGGGCTGCAAGGTATGGTGAGAAGAAACAATTGCTTCTAGGACTGAGACATGGTTACATATTCTAGGGAGTGTCCAAGGAATGTAATAGAGGGTAACACACTATGAGGAGCACTGAGTCCCTAGGGTAAATATGCCCAGGGATGACAGGAAGGGACAGCCACACAGATGGAGGATGGGAATGCTATTGGCAAGGCAGGGATCAAGTACTCTCCAGGACTAGAGGTCTGCACACCTGCAGAGCAGAAAGGGAGAAAAAGACAACTGAGTAGGGGCAAGAGAAAACACTGCCAACAGAACCTGCAGACAGGAAGCAGATCCCAGAAGGAAGGTTCCATTGAAGGCCCAGAGGGTCAGATGTTCTGAGGCAGAAGAGCAGATGGAAGGCAGACTGTGGAGGTCAAGTTCCTTAGAGGAAGGCAGTAGAGAGAAGCACAAGATAATGCTTTGGACTCAGGGACTGCACACGGAGGGTACTTAGCAGGAGGGGTGCAAAAAGACGGTGTGCCCAGAGAAAGAAAAGGACGCGAGATGCACAAGCGACGCGTCGGGAGCTCCGAAAGAACACCTGCGGCACGACGAAATGCTGTGCGACCAGCCGCAGCTCGGCTCCTCCCGGCACGAACCTACCCGTCCCTCCGCTCACGGACGTCGACGCGTCTCCCGGGAGCCGCGGCGGGGAGGGGCGGGCCCGTGTCCCTGGGGGACACCGCCCACCGTCATCCCTCGCGGGGGGGCCTGCTCCTCCCCTTGCTCTCAGCCGAGCCACCTCCTCTCGGCCCTCGCTCCGGGAGGCGTTACCAGTTCCCCTTCTGCCTCCCTTCCTGATCAACCAGCCGGCGCTTCTCGGCTACTCGTGCTGCGTTCACTTCCAGGCAGCCGGTAGCATATTCTCTTCCTCACATTCTCCCCGTTCCATCCTCGCTACTCTCGCACAGCAGCTCCTCCTCTGCATCGTGTGAGGATGGGCACGCTCCTCTGCAGCCCCAGCCTCTTTTAGTAACACCCCCTTTCCCCAAAACACAAATAATATTTGTATTATACTCTCAGATCTCACTCTCTTGTTCACTTGACTTCCCACACATTTCGTTTATCAGACTGTTTAGTATTAAACAATTTCTCCATAGTGCAGATCAGAAAGGAGATTCTTGGCCCCTTACAGTACAGCTGTTAGGGATGGGAACAAACTTCCCATCTTCTGAACTTCCACTGCATTATGTGAAAAACTTTAAAAAGATTGTATAACAAGCTCAGGCCAACTGCAACATGATGTCATGCAGCACAGATAAATACAATTTGCTATCAAGGCATTTAATTATTAAAAAATGTATCCATCAACCAAACCACGTGAGACAGATGGAGACGTAAAACATGAGCTGGACCTAAAGCATGATTTTCCATTAGTCACTTAGATGACTTGCTTGTCTGGAAGTCATGATGCAAACTTCCTGTAATACTCTCTCACTTTTCTGTTTTTCTAGATTATATAAAGATTTGCCTGAGGACTTTTCAGAAATCTGAATGTTGCATCCATATTATATCTGAAGTACTAATTTAAAGAAGATAGAGTATTATCTAAGTAGTTCTTATAGATTTAGATATCTATATATATATGTTACATATCTTAAGATATAAGTAGTTCTTATAATCTTTCCTTATGTCATCAGAAAAGAACTGTGCGTCCTAGCCCCATGCCATTTAAAGAAAGGAGGGGTTCATTTCCATCAGTAACTATTTTTGAAAATTAGAATCAGAACCTACAACCTGACTTTTGAAATAAAGTAAGTTTCATTTATCTACATATATTTTCAGAATCCTACAATTATTAAAGGGATTTAGTTCATTTATTTATATTAATCATCTCTGGTTTAAAATACAACAGTGAAAACCGGCTTCAAATCATTTTCCAAACCTGAGACACAAAGATTATAGCGCAAGTCCCAGCATAATTTACATTCTGCAGTGAGCCTCTCAAAGCACTCATCAGAATAATCACATAATAGATGAATGTCTAAATCCATATGCCATTCTGACTACTGGCATGCTCCTTTTCCTACCTCAGCATTGCCTAACTTATCAACTACATTATCTTCTTCGCCCCTATCCCCCGTTTCAAATGAGCTGTCATATTCTCCAGCGTACCTCCAAACAGTCCCTAGTCACGTAGTTAAATGTGTGTCAGTTCCCCAAATGAGTAACTGATGGCTTCCAGTGATTCAGTAGTGCCCAAAATGGATAAACTTTACTGGTGAGTCAAAAATTCACAATGTGAATTTGAAGATCGATGTAGGAACCTGAACACATCTAAAATAAACGCAGAAAATGTCTTGGTTTCATAGACGGAAAAAGAAGGAAACCTTTGGCCCTTTTAGGAAACAGGAGTTAAGAAGAGATTTTGTGTTCTTACCAAACATTAGTGAGTTCTGTAAGATTTTGGCCAAAGGTAAGATTTCAGCTACCTTTAGAACCACCTTCAGAGTCACCCTTTTTGAATACAAGCCTTCGGCCCCATCACTACACTGTGAAATAGCAACACTTACATGTAGCTTCACAAGGAAATTAAAACAAAAAGGACTCACCCTCTGAAAATGTTACATTGTAGAGAGAAAAAGTAGGGTATATATTGGCTACACATATACTACTAGGCTCAAAAGCACTTCCAAGTTTCCAGCCCAAAGGCTATGTCCAACCCATTATGGCCCAACTCTGTAACAAGACCCAGGATTACACAATCTAGTCATCCTACCATCCTCATTTTTTTTCTATGGCCATACAAGAGTCATGACACATTCCAAAGATGTTTACCTGGACAATCAGAGTAACAGATTTATGAAAATTCATTTTACAGGATGGAACTGTCCTTCTTAAAAACTTAGAGCCAGAGGATGGGGTGATGAGAAGTAAAAATGTCTTCCTCTCAAAACCTGAAGTTTTTCCAGTTCTTTGGGACTGGAAATGGAGATCATACTTCTTTTTCCTGGAGAACCAAGATTATCTGTGTGAAGACATGTAAAAATGTCTTCAGCTGCTAGACTTTACCAATTGTGGTGGGCCTCAGGCACTGCACAGCTTGCTTCAGAAACTCCACGACAATCAGTGGTTTCTGCTCTCCTGCAATTAACTTCATCTAGCCTGCAAGATGAAGTTGCCTGCAACAAATGGCCTAAATTCAGATAATGGTAGACAGTCAAAAACTGGCTTTACTGATCTTTAAGATTAGCAACGCAGGTCTTACTGGCTATATGCTATCTACCCGAAAGAAACCACACAGCCTTGCTCATCTTCACACATTACTGCAGTGAATCTCTAAGCACAGACAACTGAGTACTACAGTTCAGCAAAACTGAACCAAAAGCCAACACAAACATAATGTGCAGGGAAAAGAAATTTCTAAGTCATTAGAAGAGTTGCAGATCCTCCCTCAGTATTACATGACCTCAGCAAGGTTCTAAAATATTGGAAGCTACTAATCTGTCCAATACCATAATGCTCAAAAGACAATACTGTATCCTATCTGTCCTCTTCTAGTTAGAACTTTACTCCTGTGCATCTCCACATCAGTGATAGGAATCACAGAATCATTTAGGTTGGAAAAGACTGATTTTTTTAGGTCCAGCTGTTAACCTCAGGGATGGTGACTCCACCACCTCCCTGGGCATCCCACTCCAATGTTTGACAACCCTTTTGGAGAAGAAATTTTTCCTAATATTCAATCTAAACTTCCCCTGACACAACTCAAGGCTGATCCTCTTGTCCTGTCCCTCGCTCCCCAGGAGCAAAGCCTAATCTCCACCTGGCTCCACCTTGCTGTCAGGGCGAGAAGGTCCCCCCTGAGCCTCCTTTTTTCCAGGATGAGCCCTGCCATCTTGCTCAGCTGGTCTTTGTGCTCCAGACCCTTCCCCAGATCTGTTCCCTTCTCTGGACACACTCCAGTCTCAACCTCTGTCTTGTTGTGAGGGGCCAAAAACTGAACCCAGGATTCAAGGTGCGGCCTCACGAGTGGCCAGCATGGGGGAACAGTCACTCCTCTACACACTGGATTGTGTGCTATAAGCACACAAGGGAGTGGAGCATCTAATCCTGAATTTCCAAAGCACCGAGGATCCCAAATAGTGATACTTTCTGTAGTGCACTTGAGAAGCTCACCACAACTTTCACAGGTCCTAAATAGCAGTATGAACACACACTCAGTTTTATAATCCAACATGTATGAATAGCAGTAGAACAACAACAGATCAGTGCAGAGAGCTCAGTCCATCTTGATGTAAAAGGAGATGTCTCAAGCAAACATATTTGCAGGGAGCACTCTCTTTGTAGAGGATTAGGAGGGAAGCCTGTAAGTTATCTACCGAATGCACAATATCACATTCAAAACGCCTGAGAAGAAAATAAGGCAAGAAAGCTTGGAAGAGTCATTCTCATGCGAGACAATGAAGAAATTGCGATCGCTCCCTGGAAAACAGAAATAGCAGCACAGAACAAACCTCAACTGTAGAAGTCCATTCATACGTTGAAGTCCACAGCTCAGGTCCTGCTCCTCTGGACCTCTGGACAGCTGGTGCATCATCCACGCCGGCAGGACCCAGCCCCGCGTTGGCCTCTGCGCAAGCAGCGCAAAGCTCACACCGGTGCCTTGTGCAGTCCCGGCGCCGCGCAGCACGCGGCCGGCCCTGCACGGGAGAACCCGTAGCAGCGGGAAGGAGTCACGGCGGCAGTAGGACCCAGGGCGCCCCCGCCGTGGCAGGGGAGGGGCGAGAGCCACAGACCCGCCGCGCCGGAGCTCCGCAGCCGGCGGGACCAGACTGGCTCAGGCGGGCGTGTGCGGGCGCACGGGGACAGCAGCTGCGGTCCGGGGCGAGCACGGTCATCCTCTCCGTGAGGCGCGGGACCTGACTCAGGTACTGAGGCGGTGCCGTCGTGCGTGATGTTGCGGAGCGCTTGCCTGGCGCACGGGGCCGAACACCGCGGGGAGCGCGGGGGTTCCTGAGCCTCGTAAACCGACATCAAAACCCTGGGCTCACCGAGGGTTCATCTCCGCGTGGGGCCGGCGGATGCGCCCGGGAGCCTCCTAAGCTTTGGGCGGGCGCGGCGCGGGAGGCGAGGGTTCACCTCTCGCCCAGAGGCTGCGCTGGGCGCCGGTGCGGCGATGGGCACGACGCCGACTATCCTTGCCCCCCTTGGCGCCACCTCACAAGGAACGGCGGGGCGCCGTCCCGCCGGTTGCCTTTCTCCCCGCGCGTGGGACCAGGAGGGCGTATCTCTTCTCGGAAAACCCGCGTTGCCGTACGGTTCGCCCAACGTCCTCGCCGCCAACGGCCTGAAAGCGCTGTCCGGGCGCTGAGCAGTGCTGGCGACCAAACTCCGCTCTGCCCGCTGCGGGAGAGCGCTGTCCCCAGCTTCCCCCTTTGGCGCCAGGGTCACGTCTCGGCTTGCGCTGCCGCCGGCCCCAGTGCACGTACAGTGCCGGTGGCTCGTGAGACTCCCGCGAGCTCCGGCTTTGTTCCCGTCATCCCTACTCTCAGACCTATACTGGGCGAAGAGGGTCTCCGCGAAAGCCTCGCCTCCGCGGTCCCTTCGCTGCTGCTCACCTCTTATTTCAGTGTCGAGGCTCGGGGGGTGAATTTCGGAGTTCTTTGTCACAGTGGTGACCGCTCAGATCTGTCAGAGCGAGCGACGTGCAGTCTGAGGACCGTCCCTTCATAAAGGACGTCGTGGCAGCCCCGGGCATGAACTCCGTTACGCGGTTCAGCGAGCGCTCTGAGAACGGTGGGGCGCCTCCCTGGGCTTCGCGAGCATCGGCGGCGGCCCGAGTGCTCCGCGGGAGCCCTCTCGGCTACGTGCCCCCCCACCCCTCCCCGGAGCGCCGCTCGGGCGGTCGTGGCCGTGGCCGTTGGCGGCGCCACGACCGCCACCATTGTTTTCCCGACCCCGCTCCTCGCCTGCGCTGCGGCCGCCGCAGCCCCTTTCCATCTCTTGGGAAAGAGCCCGTTTTTGCTGCTGCTCGCAATCCACGGGGAATGGTCTGCGGCTTGCCTACTTCTAAGAGGTTCCGCGAAGAAAAAGTGAACAAAGGTGGAGCTGAATTGCAGCAATACAACTTCCTCTCGGGCACAGACCGTTAGCACTGGTTGTGGAAATGCGCTCCTCTTGGGCAGCGGGTTTGCGTGCTTTTCGGGTAAAGCAACTGGAAAACCTTTTAGTGTAGAATTTCACAGAGTAAAGTCAAGTATGGTTTTGCAATGGTTATTTCAGAGGAAGCAGTGTAGCAGTCAGCCGTTTTAAAATGTAAAACAATCTATTAGTACAGTACACCTGTTGTGGTTCAGTCAGAAGTATAACACAAGATATATTATAAAAATATTAAGGTGATGTTTTAAATTGTGACTGAAGTGGGCATTAACATATCTCAGTGTATGACACCCTATTATGCAGCTGCACTATCCAAAGTGATTGTGTAAAACGACACCTTTGAGCCAGGCGATCTTTTCTCACTATATTCAGCTACATGTGCTAACCTGGCTTGAGATACAGTGCATGTGCATACAAGCACTCTATATATCAGGGGAGTTCCATGGTATTCTGCAAAAATTAGCATATATGTCCAACTGGTGACAGGACTAGACCCTTAATTAGTATTTATCTAGCTCTGTCACTTTTTGGTTTTATACTAGGCAATATAAGGATACTTCTCCAAGAATTTTTTGTTTTTGTAAAGCTTCAACACATTGCAAAGCCACCACAGCTGCAGGGCTGAAATTAATTTTCATGGTACATGAAAATGAGTTGTAAGTATTCAACTGAAGTTGGGGGTCTGCAACTTATATTTTTGAAAGCAGCCAGACAATTCCAATACAACTGAAGGCATGTTTGTCACCTTTCTGTGAACACAGAAAGGGCACGTGTTGTCTGTTCTTAAGGTGCTGCTGTGATTATGACATTAATGCACTTACGGTATGCCTGTAGGCTTTAGAAAAATAAATCCGCTTCTCCAGAAAGTGAGCATTTGATATAGATATAATAACTATGGAGGTTGACAGTGCTATTGTTATAGGACTAAGTATATTTGTTTTCCCAAATAATGTAAAGAGCAGGGTTCCAACATTTTCATTATACGACATAAACAAATAAATAGGTACAACTTTCCCTGTAGAGCACTTTACCCAGGTAATAGAATCTAGACTGGTTAGTATTATTTGCTACACATAACATAAAATTGCAGTGTGTTATTGCAGTCTGCTAATTTGCGATGAATGTTACTCACTGTGCTGTAGCAGTGAACACTTAAGACATTGTGCAGCTAAATGGGGATTGGAGATTGATTAATAGTTAAGTGTTGGTATGGAACATTACTTACAGCTACAGACAGCACAGAATTATCCTAGGAGTTTTGAGAGAGAGATGAGAGAATGGTGAAAGCTGGCAAAGCCTTAAGAAAGGCAGCAGATCTGAAAAACTGTCTCTGATAAAACAGTGGAGGCCAAAATGGCAAAGCGGAAGTCCCTGTGGGGCTTTGTGGGAAGGAGAGAAGGTCAGGGTTGGCATTGGCAAATATGGTAATGATTTTGTAGGGAACAGAAGTTTGCAGCAGCCTTTGGAATGAATGTGTAATTCAACTGGCTGATATTTAAGCAGGTAAGCCACACAAAATGCACTAGTGTGTTATACCAGTGGCCCATCAAAATGGTTTCTATGAAGTACCTGAGTTGTAATAAATAAAATTTGATTTAAAGATGTATGCACTAGTAATTAGAGAACCAGGAAAGACTTAAAGTCATGCTGAATAGGCAGATGTCAGTAACGTCAATGCAAAATGTAGTTGTTCTAAATGTATAGGGCTGTCACAAGGGTCAAGAATATTAAAATAAAAATATTTTTGCAGGAGTAATTGCCTGCAAAAGTTCATTAGAGTTGGTTAGTCTTAAGATTCTTCACTCAAAGCCAAGAATAACATATATATTTTTTTTAGTCCGCTTAGATTTTAATACCCTCAAGGGGGCTAATATAGGAGGTTTACGACTTCTATTAGCACAGTATTGAGCAGCATACGCTTTTCAATGTATTCGTACCCCCAACACCCTATGAAGAGAGAATTGTAATTTTCTTTGCTCCACAGATAAGAAACTGAAGGAGGATCTCTACATTGCTCAGCTTAGACCACCTCCCTCATTTTGTAATTATACAGTTCTCATACTGGTGGGGTTCCCGACTGAATTCCAGCCTGAACTGGGTTCCCTGCCTGGAAGTTCATGTTCTATTTTTTATTACCATTTTTTAGAGGAATTCAAGGTTGGGTAGATTTCTGCCATAGTTAGAAGAAATTATTTCTTCTTGAGAGTTCTTGAAATTAATTCTTCCTGAGAACGGGAAGTTCTCAAGATATATAGGTCAGCCTACATACTCACAGATGTCCTCTCTACCCCATACTGCTGACCATGAAGTACTGCTATATGGCCAATAAGAGTATTGGCTAAACACAATAGATTCTTGCAATTTCTAGCTGATCCTTTTTATAATCCAAATACTCCCCTTATATAGACATCACACCAAAAATACCACTCACAATGCTCCCTACAGTCACCTAGTATTTCCTCCTAACTGAGACTATAGTAGTTTCCATAGCAACAGGAAGATAATATCAGGAAGATCAAACCTCACATATTTAACTACATTTGTTCCCTTTGTTTTACACATTACCAAAGCAAGAAACCATTCATGATAGAAGGAATCTGGAATAAATACTGACAATACTATCATGACTGTTGTGGAGATATGAAACTGAGCTGCAGCCAGTTAAATGTAATCCTTTGCCTCTAAATAGGGCTGAGCTAGCAAAAGCAGAAAGCAAAGCAAGCTGTTACAATAGTTTTGCAGCAGCCTCCTGTCTTAGCAGGCTTTGACAGCATCCCAGTGCTGAATTGAAATAGTAAATAAAAATTTTATCTGTGCAAGTCAATCACAAGCCCAGCTTTTCTGAAAGTACTGCCCTCTGTTTGCACATCTTACACGGGAACCTCTGCACTACTTCCTTATTGGTTCTTAAGGAGATGAATACAATCTAGCCTAGTAAGGCACACAGCAAGAGGATTGAAATACATCTTCTGCTGTGTTTACAGAGGCAGGGTTCATTTTGTTCCGGTTAATAGTCTTTTAATTGTGGTGTGTTACCATGAACTACTGATGGACAAAACCAGATGAATAATATTAATGGTAGAATCACAGAATGGTTTGGGTTGAAAGGGGCCTTAAAGTTCATCTTATTCCAAGACCCGTGCCATGGGCGGGGTCTCTTTCCACTATACCAAGTTGCTCCAAGCCCCGTCCAGCCTGACCTTGGACACTTCCAAAGATCCAGGCGCAGCCACAGCTTCTCTAGGCAACCTGTGCCAGGGCCTCACCACTTTCACACCCTCCTAATATCTAACCTAAACCTACTGCCTGTCAGTTTGAAGCCATTCCCCCTTGTCCTCTCACTACATGCCTTTGTAACAAGTCCCTCTCCAGCCTTCTTGTACCCCTTCAGGCACTGGAAGGCTGCAATAAGGATGCCCCAGAGCATCCTCTTCTCCAGGCTGATCAATTCCAATTCTCTCAGCCTTTCCTCGCTAGAGAGGTTTCTTTTTGATGTATGTGTGTGCAAATTAAACCACTCTTAAAAGGATGGCATGCTGGTTTATGGTTATTTTTAGCCAAATGTGGTAATAGACATGACATAAAGAAGAGTAAATGGATGATACTGTTTATTTCCCCATAGGCCTATTTTTGTGAAATGCTGGAAAGTAGGCCAGGGTCCCTCACATCAGCAAATCTTGCTTTTTCATCACAGCAGCACATAAAACCGTTTTAGAGACTGTTCCTCATAGCAAAGATGGTAAGTCCCGTATGGCAGGTGGAACACAATATGTCTCTTACAGGCTGACTTGCTCTGCTGGGCACGGAAGGACGGCAACAGAGGAGGACGTTTCCACCTCGTGTGGGGAAACCGAGCTCCGGCTGCCGCGAGCGCTGGGCGAGGGAGCGGCCCCAGCCCCGCCCGCAGTCCGCGGGCAGCGCCCGCCCCTCGCCCAGTCACGTCCCGCACGTCTCAGTGCGGCGGGGCTGCCACAGCGCGGGTCAGGCGGGGCCGCGGCGGGAGCGGCCTCCGCAGCCCCCGCCCGGCCGGGGCTTCTTCCCGCACTCGCGGCGGACCCGGAGCGCCGCGGCGGACCCGGAGCGCCGGGTTCACTTCTGTCCCCCTGGAGAAGCTCGAACGGTTCTCTTATGAAGGAACAAGCGAGCTGCCAGCTGGTTCTTGACGGCACTTCCTCACGCAGATGTCGTTTGCTGTCGGGGCTCTGCATTGTAGGGCTGCAGAGGCTGCCCTCTGAACATCTTTGCTGTCGACGCAGTAGACTCACCGCGCCTGTGCGCAGGAAGAAGCACAGGGGTGAATGCCATAAGCCACTGAATATCCCTATCCAGCACTTTAAGCACTCTGGAGAGATTGCCAGTTGCTATTTTTCAACAAAGCATGCTCATGTGTTATTGCTAACTTTGTGTTGCTACTAGACGTTTAATGCAAAAGAACAAAATTTCCACAACCTTTCCCCCAACATTTTAAACATTCGTTCCAAGTGAAATGTTCTGACAATTTGGAAGTAGCATGACAGTTCCTCCTACGCCCTGGACTCCAGTTTTATATCTTATATAAATTTATATAGGATATATATATCTCTTATATATCTTTATGTCTTATGCTCTTTATACATTTGAACTGAGATACTTCAATCAGCATTTCCCCGTTACCATCAACAGTAGAGAGTTGCCACTGTCACAGAGGATTACACTTTGGGTACCTATTCTGTGCTGTCTGCTTATTGCTTCAAAAAATAAGTCCTTATTTGAAATAATGCTTTATACCTTGTATCAAACAGAAGTTACTGGGAAAAACAATAGTGAAGGGTCGACAGATCCCCAGTGTCAGAAGTGCAGAGATGCATCTTAAGAATTATTTAGCAACCTAAAGCCTGCTGCAGAAATTGCCCAGTCTACCAAGCTATGCATTTTTACGTATTCTTACAGCAATCAGCAAGTGAGCCATCTGCAGCCTCAGACGCCTCGATGACTGGTTTTGTTGAGGTATTCAGTTTCCCTTCATGTTAAACCATTTTATGTTCTAGTTGTAGGAACTTGAATTGTTTTCTATTTGATTTCCAGAAACCAGAAAACCGGTGAAACCAGTACTATAAGACTTACTATCCTCGTACAGTCCAGGGTAATAAAACAGCAATAGTCGTGGCCAGATTTATTTCTGTATCTGTATATAAAGTTGTTTCTTTCAAGAAGTGGGAGTGCTAGTCAAATGCCATAGCAGGTATGTCCATACAGGCCTATTAACAATCATCCATTTGGTGCTCAGTTGTCTAGACAAGTCTGCATCAGATTGTTGTGCCACACATGGTCTGGTTGTGAAATGGAGATGTAAGAACTACATAGTTCCCAATTTACAACAGTCGCTGTGCAAGCCTATTCTGTTGAAAGCAGAGGCATTCATCAGTGATGAACATCTCTGATGTGCAGCTGTGCTTGCACTCCTCTTTTAGGCACTGTTGTAGAGAACACTGACACAACAGGAGTAATCAAACTGCACTTTAACGAAATGGCCAATTTTCGTACATTTTCAAGACTTCTGTAGTAGACAGACCCTACAAAAACCTAACTGCTGTGATGCAATACCTTCCTGCACTCCTCACATATGGGGACACTTTATGTGCCTTTTCAGTGTCTTTTTTCACCCCGCATCTCTCTCTTTAAACACTTGGCAGCATTACACATTTGCATGAGAAAAGATTTTATTTTTAAGATGCAAAGCTGCTTGTGACTGCTCATAGATGTGAAAAATTAGATTAACGAAATACATTTTTTTTTCTTACTGCTAACGTACTAACAACAACAATGGAGAAAGTATATTTGCTTCAGCCAGGCAGTGATACTGACCATTGCTACAGTTACTAACTCCCAGCATCCACAAAGGTACTTACTCGATGGGTTCTCAGCATCTCAAGGGATCTCTATATCTTTTTAAGATAGCAGAGTATCAGGGCTATATTGCTATCCTCAGTAGGAACAAAAAGCCAGAGTGATTAGTCCACTGTTGCACAGAACTCTTGTGATGCACCAGATCTCCTACAGGAATAGTCCAGGACCTTCACATAACATGGTCTTGTAACAAAAATCCTGCAGACTTTAATGCAGTAGTTTTGACGTATTTGTGAAAATCAAATACACCCCTGATCTGCTGTAATGGCTCCAGTTTTTCTAGGGAACAGTGATTTGGCTGAAATCCAGTTTTGACTTTGAGAGCTGTGAAGGGACATTTGGAACACAGATGTGTGGATCTCCTTTTTAAATATTTTTGCAAGCTTTGTAAGAACTAAACCCGAACAAGGAATAGTCACAATTCCAGTGCATCTTCAAGACTTTTATTTAAAGTAGTCCTATACCTTATTTTTAATTGTACTCCAATTTTTGCCAATTTTGGTTAGATGATCATCCCAATGTCTATAGATACTAATTGCTTTTTGTTTCTTAGGGAACACTCGAACTTTGTCATGGGAGCTGTAGTAGCTGATGACGGTCCATCTGGTGTTAAAGCCCCTGATGGAGGCTGGGGCTGGGCTGTCCTTTTTGGCTGTTTTATCATCACAGGATTCTCCTATGCCTTTCCTAAGGCAGTCAGTGTTTTCTTTAAAGAACTTATCCGGGAATTTGGCATTGGATATAGTGACACTGCATGGATTTCCTCCATTCTGCTGGCCATGCTTTATGGAACAGGTGGGTAGTTATCTGTTTTTGAAACAGTATTGTGCCATACAATGAAGTTTGTAAATCATATGGCTATTTACAGCATGTATCATGACTGCCTATCGTTACTTGTGTGCAAGTAAGGCATTCTAAAGAAGAATTATTATTAATCACATCAGTCAAACCGTTATTTAAATCCAGCTTGGATTTAAATTAAGTCTCTGTAACTCAGTATTTACTAAAGATGATGCAAAAGAAAAATTGCCCAGCCCTCTGAAGATAAAAAAAGTAAGTATTTGACTGTAGAGGAAAGAACAGTTGTCCTGATTGGCTTGACTGTATGGAGAAAGCAGGAGAGAATCATAGAATCATTGAGGTTGGGAAGACCTTAGACCTTTAAGATCACTGACTCCAACCACTATGAAGTCCACCAAAGAAGAAATGCGAAGTGACATAAAATCAATTGCAAAGGTTTGTTTATCTTAGTAACTCTAACTTGCTTTTCTTGCCTAGGTCCACTGTGTAGTGTATGTGTCAACCGCTTTGGCTGTCGTCCTGTCATGCTGGTGGGTGGCCTTTTTGCCTCCATGGGGATGGTGATAGCTTCCTTCTGTACAAGCATCGTTCAGATCTATCTCACTGCAGGTGTGATTACTGGTAAGTAGTGTGTATAGCTGAAAATGAGCTAACATATGTCTCAGCTTTAGGTTGAAGTTTTCTATAGGTGATAAATACCTGAAGCATCATGATCACCCAAATGGATTTTAATAAAGATGGCAGATAAATGTGGAATTAAACTGTTATTTATTTTTGCTATGAAAATTTAATAGCATGAAGTGTAATTATAAAGTATAAAAATATTATGGAGGTCAAATGTTTTAAAAATGTTACCTTAGATTTATTCTGTCCATTTGGAATAAAACTATTTTCTCTTTATTTGTAATCGTACTTTCTTTAATAGTGATATTGTAGGCTGGTATTATTTTTTATGTGTCCTCTGTTGCAGGTTTGGGTCTGGCACTCAACTTTCAGCCTTCGCTCATCATGTTAAACCGTTACTTTGACAAACGCCGGCCCTTGGCCAACGGGCTCTCTGCTGCTGGGAGTCCAGTGTTTCTTTGTGCTCTATCACCGCTGGGGCAGATACTACAACATGAGTATGGTTGGAGAGGAGGATTCCTTATACTGGGTGGGATGCTGCTCAACTGCTGTGTATGTGGAGCACTAATGAGACCTTTGGAGCCACCCAAAAAGTCTGAAGATACCAAAGAGCCAGCTGAGAAGAAAGTGAAGAAAAAACTTCTGGATTTCAGTGTGTTTAAAGACGGTGGTTTTGTAATCTATGCCCTAGCAGCATCTATCATGGTGCTTGGCCTCTTTGTTCCCCCAGTTTTTGTTGTGAGTTATGCCAAGGATTTAGGCTATCAAGACACCAAAGCAGCTTTTCTTCTGACTATTCTGGGATTCATTGATATCTTTGCTCGGCCTATTTGTGGAATGGTAGCTGGTCTTAAATGGGTTAGACCACGCTGTGTCTACCTCTTCAGTTTTGCTATGATTTTCAATGGTTTCACAGATCTCATGGGTTCAATGTCTGTTGATTATGGTGGACTGGTGGTCTTTTGCATTTTCTTTGGCATTTCTTATGGAATGGTAGGTGCTCTTCAATTTGAAGTTCTCATGGCTATTGTTGGTACTCAGAAGTTTTCCAGTGCTATCGGTCTAGTGCTCCTGGCAGAAGCTATGGCTGTTCTAATTGGTCCACCATCAGCAGGTAAGTATTCCATTTAGTTCAGAATTCAAAATCACGTGCACTGCATCCATTCACACAAAATTTAAGGGAGACGAAAAGGATGACAGTCACTCAAGAAATGCAGATTGTGCCAGTGTTGCACATGCTTCAAAGACTTTCTGCAGCTACACTCTGAAATAGACCAAGAAGAGGTGGGATGAATCCTTTCTCCTTCTTAGATTCATTTCAGTACTGGTTAAATTGCCATTTGGAGATGCTGCTATTTCCCCTCTGAAAGCCTGCACTGAATCTCTTATTGGCAGATACCTGATTGGGGTTCAGAATGTGTAACCTGTCAATTTTCTCTGGAAAGTACTAGGACAGATTCTCTATACCCATGGTAGTTTTGGAGGAGGAAAGAAAACATCAGAAGAAAAAAAATCATAGAAGGAGGAGTATATAACTGGACTGCTTTAAGGAAGGTAGACTGCTTCTATTGCACTTGACTCACAACCCAAGAATAAGGAAACATAACAAAATAGTCAAATTCATTAATTTGAAGTAAAAATTAAAATTAATTACTAATCAAAGAACATGTATTTTGCAAATCCTGAACTGAAACGCACTTTGCCTCCCAAACCTCAACAGTTCACTGACAAACGTTTCCACCATACCAAAAAACGTGAAGTAGTTTCATTGCGACAGAACCCCCTTCATGGGAAAACCAGTACTATGCGCTATTTCCTTTGATATTCAGGTTCAGAGAGGCACTTCCTTCACATCCTCCCACCTGTTCTTTCACATCCACCAAGTCCTGTGAAAACTTAACTTTACTAAAGTGTCAGAATCAGTCAATTACTCCAGACACTACTAAGTAAGATTTGCATCTTAAGCAGAAAGTGCATTGCCCATGGAGAAAAGTAAATGAGATTGGGAGCAAGAGGAAGCTGATGATACAGATCCTGGCCATAGATGTACACATTTTTATCTGAAATACATAGCACTTGTTTCACTCTTGCATGTGAAGGCTGGGCTGGTTTTATTCCAGTTGAATTGCATGACAGTATGTGTGCATTGGGAGTATGTGTTTTGGCATGTGATGTAATGTCAGTGACTGTTAAATTGAACTGAAATAATTGAGAAATACTTTGCTATAAACTTGTTAAAATCCTGTTTCAAAAAACTTGCTTATAGATAGTCATGGTAATTCTAAACAGCAATTATTTAAATGTTAAAAAAACCCAGAAAAAATCCACGGCAAAATACTCACTTTTGTTAATTACCTGGAATGTTACCTTTTTCAGGAAAACTCCTGGATGCAACAGGGAGGTACATGTTTGTATTCATTATTGCTGGAATTGAAGTTACGACCTCAGCACTTGTATTGGCCTTGGGAAATTTCTTCTGCATTAAGAAAAAATCAGAAGAAACACATACAAAAGAAGAAGCAGCAGAAAGAGAGGAATTAAACAAATCTGAAGACAAAACTCCTGAAGATGCCAAGGTGGACTCTATTGAAGTGGAGCAGTTTCTGAAGGATGAGCCTGAAAAAAATGGCGAAGTTGTAACTAACCCAGAAACATGTGTGTGAGCATGACAGGGAATTGAAAAGTGTTTAGAAAAGAAAGATTTCCAGTACTATTTATTTTAGAAACAGAACTAGTTTAGGGCTGGGCCATCTGCTTTAGTAACTGGAAGCTAGTCAGCTCATCAGATCTCTTTGGAAGCTGATTAGCTGGACAACGTCTTATTGGAAAACCAGCTTTATCAGTAAAAAGTGGAACAATGTGATTATACTTTTTATGTAAACTAAAAAGCTTTTATAAACACAAGTAGGCTCTTGCTATGCATCACCAGAAACTGCTCACTTGGAAGAGATATAGGAAAAGTATATTTTAAGAAAAGTGGACTTATATATATGTTTTCAAACAATATTGATGAAATCGCTGTGTTGTATGGCTAAATATAATTTCCCTGTGTTCTTTGTGAAGGGAAAAGAGTTGAAGATGGAGAAAAATCTCAGGAAATTAACGGTCTCCATTAGGTTTTTGAATTTCTTACTTTTTTAGATTTTTTAGATTAATTGGCTCAGTCCTAATTTAATTTTGATATCTGTAACGTTGACTTATGTAAATGTATTTCTGAGTTCTGTCTAAACCTGTAACCTTTGTAATTATCATCTGGAAATCATGTTTGTGAAAAGGCACGTTACAGATAGTGTCCTCATTAGATGACACAAGTGGTATTCCGAGGTAGCACCGAAAAGAAAAAAAATGAGCAGAAGCGATCCTGACTGATCTTAAGCAAACCAAATTAGCCTACATTTACATATACCGTGTTCAGTACGATTTCCCTAGAGCATTGAAAAATATTACAAGTAACATGGAGAACATGGATATTAGATTTAATAGAATGTTCTGAAAAAGTGTCCATTTTGTATATTAAAAAAATGGTGCAAGATTCCAGACGTCCTATAAATTAGAGTGGGTAGACTTAGGGAAGAGACTGGACTAGTTTGAAACATATTAGCCATCTATAAAATGCAGTGTTAGCATCACAGGAAGGTCTTAACATGTTTGGTTTTGGTTTGTTTTTTGTCTTACTCTCTCCCCCCCCTTTCCCTCCCCCTATTTATCCCACTTCTCTATCCTTTTGCTTAATCTATGGAAGTTCAAAGTGCCATTCCTACTGGCTGAGGAAACACAACAGAACTGTTGATCATATTTATGACAGCATTGCACTGAAATAGAAAAGGGAGGCACAAGGAAAACATTCTGGTTTTTCATCCAAACATATTCAAGAAATGTAATTTTTTTTTGGTACAAAATCATGCTACTGCATCTTACCTTTCAGATCTGCTTATAAAAATCTCTCTAGGCTCTGTGACTGCAGTAACAATCTTCAAAACAGACTAAATGTAACAGATCCAGTTTTCTTACTGGTAGCGAAGGAATACTGGCTTTCAGGTGCCAAAATTGTTCTGCTTAACAACTGAAAACTTAAAGACACTAATCCCTTAAAACCCTATATCCCTTTTAAATTAACATCATTAATTGTTTCATACTTTACCATATTTAACAGAAACAAAGTGCCAAAACCATGAACTATCTCAGCTACCACCTTCCATTCTGGTAGTTTTTTTAAAATGGCTTTGCATCATTAGGACAACCTTGTAGAGAAATTGAGAAGTTAGGATCGTGACTTTTAAAAGAAATAGATGCTACACAGAATAAACCATTTATTTTTATATCACATGTAGTGTGTCACTTTAAAGCCTTTTATTAATTTAGTGGCAGGAAATGCAGTGACATTTCCCAGTTACAAGAGCTTAGTCACAGAACTTAGCTCCAGTTTGCTAAAGACTAAATTGATACTTGAAACACAACACTGGTAGCTCCAAGAGGCAAGAGAAAAATGGAATCCACAGAGTAGTTTATCGTATCCCTAGAAGCTGCTTCAGATGATACATGAAGACCTTCTACAGTTTTCAGATTGCAGTTCCCTGCTCTGTTTCAAAAAGTAAAAACTGGAAATGTTCCCAGAGGTAAATTCAGATTCTCAGCCATTTTTCTCTTACTGTAGGCTTTTGATCACTGGATTTATTTGCTAAATAATGCTACACTGCTATCACAAAACTAAATGGTTATTCCTTAACCTCAGGTTTTGGCACAATTTTAAGTTTCTGTACATTCTGCAAATTATCTAGTGGCTTTGTATGTGATAGAATATCCTTTGTGCTTAACATACTGACCTTCTAGACTGTGTTTCATTTTCCGCACATAATACTTTTATGGTTAAGCTGGAAACAAGAAGTGTTACGTTACAATTTTATGTGCTTGAGGCAGAAGAGAAGTTATGAAGACAGTGGAAAGCCATTTCAACAAGACACCATAAATAACCTCGTTAGTAAAACCTAGTGTTCACAGGAAGGGCCTTATTGGCCTATAAAAATTTTTTTCTTTGACTCAAAGATGAATTACTCTGACTAGGACTGCCAGTGCTCTTGAGCTGTTTTCAGCACAGACCTACCACTGGATTGAGGTGTTTGTAACAGCAGGAGATGCTTTACTACATGAGAGTGGTCAAATCATTAGACTCATTTATCAACTGAGAAATAAAAGGGCTAGATTTAATTTGCTAGGAACTTTAAAAAGCTTTTACCATTTTCATTAATTACAAGAAGCATCACCACAAAGATGAGAAGCTCCTAATGCAGCTCTCTTAGCAACACCAAAACTGGCAGGCTTAAGAGTATTTCAGAGTTCTGGAGTCCGTTAAGCTTCCTGCTCCCATTCTGTCCCATCCAAGGGTAACACCCAGGTGTGTGAAAGCCCTCTATCTGTTCAGCTGTCTTAATTTCCTTGGAAAGAGATTGATTATATTGATGGGAAAGAAACCTCCATCCATGCCAGATCCCAACCTGGACACCTGTTGGCCAGTATGAGGCTGTGCTGCAGCATGTAAAATTGCTCCTATTGACAAGGGTCACAAAGGCCTTCACATTGAGCTCCTGTTTTACAGACCTTCCTCCTTCCCACACCAAGACAAAAAAAAAAAAAAGAAAAAAAAGCAAGCAGCAAGTCCTTTGGTTCCCAACACTGTCTAGCCAGGCTCTTTATTTTAACTCTGTTTATTGTGTATTTAATATTTAAATATATGTGTAAATAAAAATAAATATACATATGTTTTGTATATTTAAATATAAGGAATTGCTTTTAAATCCCTCCAGGTATTTTGGTACAGTATTTCTTTAATCCCAACACCACCGAGATCCCCTTAAGAGCAGTCTGTAAGATGTGCTCTTCCATATATTTTGAGGATGTGTATGGTCAGTCATAAAGCAATGTTAAAGAGACACTAATACCCCAGGACACACGCAGGACAGTTTCATGCGACATCTACCCAGACGAACCTTTGTTCAACCTCCACCTGGTTAAAATTTTATGATTTGAAAAAAGGGAGAGGAAAAAGGAAGGGAGTGCAGGTAATGCAACTGAATTGCCAAGCATCCCAAGACTGTAATTTGCTCCTTCCTATTGAAACAAATGTAATTTCGTTAGACACATAGTTGATAGATATATATCTAAGTCTGTAAAGCAAACAGTCAATGGAAACAAGTGCAAAAAATCCAAGTGTAAGACTATAAAATTGCTGAAAGACAGTTTTCATAGATTATAGCTCTGAAACTAACGAGCAGTCTTTTACTGAACAGGTGAGCAAAATTTTTGAAGCATTTTAGATCTTCATACTTTTTATAAATTGTATACCATAGGATTTATGATTAAAATACTGTATGCTTTATTGTGTAATGGACCTTAGGCCCTTATCTTCCTGATGCAAGGAGAGGAAACGTGCATAAATGCCAGTGACAGAGACTATATAATAAAGAGGTATACATGTGTATGCACATGTATATATTGGCATATGTATGTATCGATCCATATATATCAAAGACGCAACAGAGTAAATACAGACAGTTCACCCATTTATTATAGGCAATGAGCAGAGTTAAAATTATTTCCTTCCTCTTCCTAAGTTTGCCTTTTGAAAAATTCTAAATAAAATATCTTGCAGCTATTTGGAGCCTAGAAGACCTCAGTAGAACTGAAAGTGATGCAGCTATCTATTTAAAGCTAAGCCAGTTCTTAAAGTTAAGACTTGAGATGGTATGAAGGTACGGTGTGAAGGACTGGACAGATCTTGTGCTGGTTAATATTAAATCCCATACACAAAAACGTGTTAAACAATGTAAAATCATTCTCTGAAAAGAAGTTAGAATATTCCCCTAATCAAGCAATCAGACTTCAAAATTAAAAACCAGAATTCACATATGCACCTTTGCATATGTGGAATTTCAGCAGAATGCAAACTCTTCCATGTTACAGGGCTGAGTACTCACTCGTGTGTGTGTCCACCACACTTTCTTTAGGATTATGGGAATACACCCCAATTCTGTGCGAGATGAAATTTTGTTTCTTGTTAACACACTTTAATGTAATGTGTACGTTTATGCTTAGATTTTTTTTTTATGCTTTTCTAGTAAACTGTTGCAAATGTAGTGAATAAATATCTGGCTGTCAAAAACCGTGGGTTTGAGAAAATAAGCTCAGAAAAAATAATTTTAACACCCAGATTTGGAAATTGGCCTCCATTTGCACACACTCAAACAGCTGTACAGTCAGACTGTTTATAGAGAAGTGACACTTAGCTGACAGGCAGCCAGAATTTTATGTGGGCAAGGGGGCTGCTTTTGCCATGACTCATAGTTTGGCCAGTTCCAAAATGGGTATGTCCTTTTGCTGTAAATGATCCAGAAGACAATTTTAAAGCATCAACTAATTTAAAATAAGAGCTATTACTTTTGTGCTGGTCTGTGTAAAAATTAATGTTCTCCTCTGAGGAGTGCTCCAGGTTTTGTTCGCAGGTGAAGTTTTATAAACTACTATGACTTACAAAGCCCTAAATATTTTGAGTAGTGACCTGCCACCAAGCTATTGTCAAATGCTGCTCTTTGGAGCTTGAAAATTCCTAAGAAAAGCATAAGAATACGTTTATGGTGGGGGTTTTTTGGATCTTACAACACCCTACATAAGACTGGCTCCTCAAGGTATAATCTTAAGGCTACACCCAAGAGAATCAAAATTAGTCTCTTCAATATAACAAGACGTACCTTTTGCTATCCACAACGTTGACACCTACTTGTGCTTAATTCTAAGTATTTTGTGAGAAATTTTTGAGAAATCCCTCTAAGATCATCTTCAACTGTATATTTACACTGAAAAGATCATAGGTCTAGTTTACGCAAAACCCCATGTTTGAATAAATATCCGATTGCCTTTTTTATGCCAGATAAGTTAAATTGGTAAGACCTAAAGTGTAATCAATTTGCTAACCCCCCCTGGTCAGATCACGATGTAGATCTGCTGCTTCAGGAATCAATGTTACCGGGTGGACTGAAATGACAGAACTTACTAGCATGCAGCCCATCCTTGTGACAGAAAGTTAGAGTTTAGCTTTGCCTCTGGTACTCCTTGAGTCTGAGAGAGAGAAGTAAAAGGCCATCTGCTGTAGAGGAAAATGGGCACAACCTGAGTTGCATACCTGTTATTCCCTGCTGCTGGACCTGTTGGAAGAACATGATCCACCAATACTGGAGAGTAAACAACCTTGACAATAGCAGAGTACTGCATGTGAGAAGCCGTGGCTTTGGAACGTATTATATTTTAGCAGCTTTCTAATGCTTCTGGAATAGAGCTTGTCTTCGTGTCAGTAGGAAAAAGGTGAATCTACTAAAAACTCAGGGCTCTTAAAAACACTTTGCAAGTGACACAGGCTGTGAGATCAGGAGTCCTGTATTTGTCTGAGAAAGTATGGTAAGTTCGAGTAAAAAGCTACTTACCTCTGGTTATACATTGTTTGTTCCTTGACTCCATACTGGCTTCATCATCTCAGCAACATTCCAGCTGGCAATGTTCCTTGCTACCCCGGATGAACACTTCATAGCATTAAGAAAGGATACTTCTTGCTCTGCTCACTCTTCATCTATTTCTCTTTCAGCAGTTTAAACCCTTTTACAGTAAGTCTCTGAATCCAATGAAGTAGTATATCTAGGTTTTAGTATTTAAAATTCTTAAACTGCAAAAGGCTTTTCAGTCTTGCTGAAAAACGTGTCACAAGATCAATTGTTGAAAAGGACAGTCAAACTTTAAATACAATTTCTTAGCAGTGAGAGCAGAGAAACATTTGCTGTTTGGGGTCTTCTAAGAAAAAACTGTGTATGACCTCAAATCACCCCTGTTTATGCTTTCCTTAAGGATTGTGGGCAATACCAGAACCTCTCATTGCCTTTGTGCCTATAACACTTGCAGGTCCAAAGCAAGCTGAACACTGTAATTAAACAAAATGTTTGTTTTTTTTTTGTTATGCACAAGACTAAACATTTTCTTCCCAGTGCATAATGTACAAATATGAATTCTTGTCTTGTTCCATATCCCATCCCAAGCATCCTGGATTGATCACAGCAAAGACAGAGTAGACAAGGGCCTGATACTTTAGGATGATCCACACAATTTCTCCTTTTTCCACATTATTCTTTGTCCATTATGCTTACATGTATCTCAGACCTAGATCTTACACAGTCTGAATTCTCCCAAAATGAGATTAACAAAGAACACGACCTTAAAATTTTTTGTTCGATGTATTTTTGTAGATTCTGTATGTATAGATCTCATTTTCTGGTGTCCCTCTGCCTGTAGCATGTGGTTTTGATAGAAAAACCAAAACGTACTAGTCTTAATAATATTAAGCAAGAAAAGAAACAATGTCTGAGAAGAAGTCATAAAGTCTTAATCCCTTGCAAATATCTGCTGATAAAGTAAGTAGAATTTTGCTGTGAAACAGATTCTTAATGAAGATCAGGCCTCTGAGCACTCTCCTGGTACAAAAGTATTGCAAAATGCACACAATCTATACACTTCAGGTTCAAACAGCCACTTCAATCTAGACATACACATGGAAAGTCAATAATTGTTGCCTGAATGAACCAGAGGGAAATGTACTGGTTTTAATAACAAAGTACTGCATTCTTTCACAGTAAAACCAATTTATTATTAACTTGTCTCATCCAGTGAATTTTAAAAGCTATTCTGTTGTAGGATTAAGTTCATGGATTACAATTCCTCACAACCAGATTAAATCCAGATTTCTGACCAGACAGCTCAGCATTATTAAAAATCGAGCAGCGTTGTTTGTTTTCACTTGATATTTTGTACACACGAAGTGTAGCTTTTGCAAAGCGGAAGCTGAAGAACAAAATACAGACCTTTTTATTTCATTCTTTTACAAATAGAAAATAAATATTCTTGAAATGAACATGTATGCTACTATTAGGGGTCAGTGCTACACTAGGCTTTGGGACGAGGGGAAACAAAGACAAACAGTTGTGCTTATGACATTTTACCTCACCAGAGAATAAAGGATGAGTTCTGCATGCCTTCATCCAAGGGATATTTTAAATACTTCTGTGAAGTTAACATTGAATATATGGACTCAAATGTTTTTTAATTAATATCTCTCTTAAAGCTTAGGATTTATTTTCAATTGTTTTAAAGTATCATGAAGAACTCAAGGACTCTGTAACCATTCAAGATTATGTAAAACAGCAGCATAGGTGGTATTTTCCACACAAAAGCATATAGCCAGTTCTAAATGAAAACTATGAGAATAAATAAAAATATCCTTCCAACTTTTAAATGCCTGCTAATAAGAAACAGAAAGAATTCTTGAAGGTGCATCTGCCCTCAGATTATAAGAAGACTTTTGAGAATAACACAGCAAAAGCCAGGATTTTATTATACAAGACATTGTGGGTAGAGCTCAGTATTTTTCTTGCTCTTATCTTAGCTCCCATAACTGAACCACTCTCAATTCTTTTACCATATATCTTTATCAGTACCATGTATTACTTGATAAGCAAAAGCATTTGAAAAAAACCCCCAATTTCTGGAAATGAAGCAATATTTAAACATTTACCTTTTAAAGAGACAAAATACATGCTTTCTGTGAGCAAAGCAATTAATGCTTTCCCTTTCTTCCTGTATACCCCAACTGCTGCATTCTGATCACAACTACCAAAATCCTTCAGTGCAAGTTTTGGTACCAAGACAGTATCTTCAAATTTTTGCAACTGACAATGTTCTTTGTAGGTACAGAAACCCCTTAAAAAAAAAAAAAAAAAAAAAAAAAAAAAGAGAGAGAGAGAGAGAAAGAAGTTGCATCAAGTAAAGGATAAGGATTCATTGTAAGTAAGTTACACCAAAGAAGAAGTTATTTCGAATGTATTTACACAACGGTTAAAGTACACAAATACAGTGGTAGTACAAATGAAGTGCTAGTTTTCAGTACATAGGTTTACACAGACGTTTTAACTATTTTCTTCTGCATGTTGGAATTTAACCATTATGAGGGACAAAAATTGCCCAGAAGTGAGTACAATTCTAGAAGTCTGCAGTCAACTTTTAAGTATAGCACAGCCATCTAATGGTCCAGATACAGAGAGAATAAAAAGGTTGCTTTTGTAAATCCCTCAAACATTACATTATTAACCACAGATATTTACAAGAAAAGCACAGTGAAGTGTAAAACTGTTCAAATGGTAGTGCACATGCCTAAGATACCAAAGTTTATAGTAACTGAGGAAGTCCTTCCCTTATGCAAACTTATCCGTGTATCAACTTCTTAAGCTTCTCCACTATACTCTCCCCAAACACGTTTCCCCAGTCTGACCCGAAGTATACACAAGCAAATAGCTGACGTTATGAAAACATTCAAAGAAGAAGAATAATATGTAGTATGTGGACTTCTGAGAGGGGCAAAAAAGAATTTGTAAAGACCCAAACAGTAAAAACTACCCTCCATAAAAATCTGAAGACCAATACATGTTTAAAAAATTGTTTCCAAGTAGGGAAGAATTTCTCAAAATACCTAACTGTTCAATCAAAATCTTTGTATATACTTTCATTTCCAACATGGAATTTTCCACTATTTCATTCATAATAGTTCTGATACTGTTCGTGAAGACAGAACACCTACTTTTATGAGACCCTTTACAGTAACAATCAATATGAGGAATTTCCCATATCCCATAACCAACAAGTGCTAACAACAGTTTTTTTGGACAACCTGAGTATGTTGAGTCATTCATGCCCAGCTAATGATTCTGGGCATACTCAGGTTGAATATAGTTAAGAACTGATTATGGTATGCACCTGAATTGTAAAAATTCTCAGGATTTCACAGAAAGAATAGGTTGCTATGTTTGGGGGAGGTTTTGCTGGGTTTTGTTTTGTTTTCCTAATAATTCCTTTTTTGAGTCTTGGTGTGTCACAAAAGGCCTAAATCAATTCATTTATTTATTTATAAGCATGTGAATACTGAATGAAACGTGCAAATTAACTGAAGACTCAGTAGCAACATCTATTTTCCACTTGTAATAGCCTCCAAGCTAACCAGCCTCAGAAATGAGGAAACAAAATCTTCCCAGTAAAAACAATATTTGAAACTATACATTTACTCAAACTAAGCAGAGAGATAGGACAAACTGTCAAATTCTAAATCCCTCAAATGCCAGTCTTTCACTTTGTCCTTCATGGTTTTTACAAAAAAGAAATCTATCTGTACAATCTTTACTATACTTAAGACTCTCCTGCAGGGTATTTAGTTCTCCTCTTTTATGAAAAAGAATGAGTATTAAAAATTCTTTAGTGTTACACAGAAAGTTAAATGTCCAGTGTGAATGAAGACAGCAAACAGCAAAATAACAATTTTAAAAATTTCATGAGAAAACTGACTCAATCAGAATGGGCCCACACATGAAAGTAAACAGTTTAAATAACATCAGATGGTTTTGATTCATTTACACGTTCCCTGGCAGACTAATCTTTTAAACAAGAAATTTCAAGTCATTGTCTTTAGTTCAGGTTTGTTTATATCCCACATTTTTAAGTCAGACAAAAGCAAGAGTTCTTTACAGAGAATTAAGCCAATAATTTTAGCAAAATGATACAAAAAACTTTCTTAAACCAAGTAAAAGATTTATAGTTACAGTAGAATAATAAAAAGGGGGTAAAGTCTGCCGCCTGTGGAGGGAAAACTGAAATGGCCATCCAATAACAGGCGGTTAACTCTGTAAACCATCCTTCTTTTCCAGCCCTGTTACCACAGGGTTTCTCTTAAGGTCATTGGGTTTCTGGCAAAAGCGTCCTGTAACGGCAGCTGCTGGAGTCTGTGCATGTTCCTCCAAATGCCTTTTAGGTCACATGGAGAACTCCAATTTCCGCTCTAGTTTAGGGTATTTTTGCTAGTAAAGCCATCAGTAAAACAGGAGATCAGCCATGCATTATCTGCCCTCCATGGCAAAATAAATTTTCATCGGTGCACAGCAGACTGGAGAACACTGGTAGTTACCCGAGCAGGAATCTACCAAAGCCAAAAAACAAGACAATATCAGCACATATCCTTCCAGTTAACATACAAGTATCTCTCAATGCACTTTTAAACAATTCATTGCCAAATAGAAGTGTGTGAATTTAAAATCCAGTGAGGTACACAGTGTTTTACACTCACCTGTAGCTACACAAAGTTCCCTATCATTTTCTTCTTTTATTAGAAATTAACATGGAAAATTCACCTTTCCAGCCAGAGGGGATGTTTTGAAGAAAAGTGAATAGAGCATAAACAAGCGCAGAAGAAAGAACCAACCAGGTGAAAACACTACCAATGCTCAATTATATACTCAATGAACACTTAAGTTTTTGGGGAAAAAGTATCATGAAGAAGGTTAAAAAAAGGCAATTATTTTCAACAACTTTTCATGGGACATTGTGTTAAAAGATATTCCACTTATTTCCATAGTTTGACCTACTGTAAGTAAGAGTGTAACATCATTGAAATATCACTTTGACCGTGAAATGAAAAACAAGCAAACATCTCAGCAATTTAAGAAGCAAGAAATGTCCAAGCAGCTGGATCAGTATTCAGTATTCATTTCAGTTGTCAACAGCTACAAATACTAAGGCATACAATAAAGGCCAACCAATGCAGGCAGAACCCTGAGCAGACCACAATTTGCATGTCTCCAGCACACAGGCTTTTCAATGCTTTTTTGCATTTATTAATGTATTTTTTTTTACTAAGGTCTGATAATTGGTCTTCAAAGTGTTAAACTGCCATTTACAGCTGGATCTTTTAAAGTTACAAACTGTTCACAAAGCAGCTTGTGCACAGTCAGCCAAGCACACAAAGCAGAAGGAGAAAACAGAAGAGGAATAGCAGAATTCTTTACCAGCTAGAGATATAGGATTAGTGCAAGCGTAGGCTTTACAGAGAAAGTGAGACAGCAGACAGAGCTATTTTATTAAGGAACAGAAAAAATCCGACAGCCTTTTTTTACTAATAAGCACAGCAAAGAAGCTCCTGAAACACTTAAGGAAAGCATTTTTTAGCCATTAAGGGTTCAGATTCCAACTGAAACTTGTTATTTTCCTGATGAAACCTGCCATTGCCAAAAGCAGAACAGACTAAAAGGCCAAAAGCTACACGTAGAAAGGCAGAAACTTCTACTACAATGAACAGTGGAAAGGAGTTCTAAATACCCAAATCCAAGCCTGTCTACCGCCGAGATGCTCATGTTCAAATGATTCTCGTTAGTATGTGAACATTTTTTAAATGTACATCTAAATAGATCTGTGTACTTTTAAAATGAGAGCTCATAGGGCATGGGGAAGAATATAAAACAGTGAAAAATGGATAAACCTGTAGTAGAACATTCCATTCATGACAAGACAGAGCCTCATTTGAGTAATATTGTCAATTGAATCTTCATACAAGTATTTTGCTTTTATGATTCTGAAGCAGATCTGGTTTTGAATGGATGACATACTGCTGCATCAACATCCCTGGAAAGACGTGTAATTCTCAAACAGTTAAAATTTATTTTATTTACTGATGATACTTGAACAATTTTAGGGACTTTTTAAGTCACTATTTTTGTCAATTCTGCTTAGCAGTCCAAGTGGAACAGCAGTAATAACTCAACTTTTGGAAGAACATTTATTTTAAAGTTAGAGAAAAATCAATGCTTTATCAAGCATCTGACAAGAAGGCACAAATAAAATTATGAGATCACATGAGGAGAAGAAGCAAAGTCGGATGTTTCGAAAGAGTTTTTTTCCCACCCCATCCAAAGTTTTGGTGTCTAATGAGAAGCACTCACCCAGTGCTGCCTTCCAACGAAAGGAGACGAGCAGCTACTTGCCGTGGTGTTCGAAAGGAATGCTATTCTGAGGTAGGGGAAAAGACAGCAGTTTGTATCAGTTCCACTGCCTCAATATATAAAGATGTCTAACAAAAATCCAACTTGAACTTGCAGTAGCAACTCTATCTTTTGAGGAGCTCTGATTTCATAGGACATTTCCATCATATTAAGAGATACATAAAAGGAACAAATCGTTAATCTGCAAAGAAAGCTGACAGGGTCAGAAGAACAATACAATGTATGATGCCTATTAAGATGGATGTATGGAGAAAGATTTGCTGATGAGGAAATGGAAAATGCAGAGGCACTGGAAGTATGGCACAGCCTGTAAGCTGTTCAATGCCAGGGTGGGCTACAGTCTTCTAGAAACTTCTCCTGTCAGACTTAATAAAAAATTTCTTTGTGCAGCACTCCAATCTTTTCTTCCAAATACAGAGAGAATACCTCTATTACCAGTAGGAATTTGACACAGCTTTGACTGTTGGGTGCTAAACATGCTGCATTCAAGAAAAAAATTAAACAACTTACTGTACGCCATGAACAGTCAGACTGAACCTTTCGTCAAAGGAAATGAAGGCTACTCACCCATAACTAAACTCTTGAGATAACCACTGCTTTCAGGATGCAGCCTGTGCAATGTGGACCGACAGCACCGATTCAAAGTAGTGTTTACTGAAATACTGGTTACCTCCTTTACTACATCTCTTTAACATTTAAAAACTACATGTAAAGGAGACTTAGGGAACAATTCACTTACAGAGCTTAGGAGCAGACAGATCTTTTAACAGCCAGTATGATTTTGTGTCCAATATAGATCACAATCCTTCATTGCACACAAACCTGTAATTTAGGCTTGCTTTACACTCTATAAATACACAACTGAGAAATGAATCCAGTTTTGATGCAAAGGCAAAGAGGACAGATGATCTACTTATTTTAGAAGTTCTTTCAGTAACTAACTACCTTCATTTAGACCTCTATGTTGCCTTTCTCTACATGTGTGGTTTTAATTTTAAGCAATAGGTTCTTCACATGTTTTCTGCATAAACATTAGTTCTTGTTAAAATCATTGTCTCTCAAATACTACACCAACTAATTCAAGTCCTTTTCTTACCTTTCAGACAAACTAAAAGAAATGGATTTAAAACTCCTGCATTATATAATTTGTTTTCCTAATCCATTTATTAATGACACAAAATAACCTCTCCGCTTCTGTTCATTACTGTATCATGGATTCAAGGATGAATTTGCACCTTTTCATTATGATATTGCGCTAACCTCTCCAACATTATACTTGCCTCTTTGGTCATTCCTTACCACAGATACAGTTCTAACATATAAGACAATGGCCTCCACTCCTTCATCCTAATCAGAATTCGGAATACTGCAGAAATACGCATTTTATTAGAACAGGCTTTGCTTGAGTGCTCAACTCTCACTAATGTTTCTGTTTATCAATGTCAACTCACAACTCGCAGGTTTTTTGCTGTTACTTTCACTTTATACAATCAAGAAAAGTACTGAATAACATGTACCACAGAATTTACAAAATTTCTTTAGACACACTTCAAAGTTTTACGAACCCTTTCATAGACATGCTAGTTGTCACTCCAATAAAGACCCATTACTTAGCGGTACTAAGTGCTAGTCCTCTTAATAAGAATTACTTAGGTTTCATGTGGACAATATCTTGGATGTGGGAAATAAATGACACCTACTTTGCTATGCTTACCAATTACCATTTTCCGTGAGTGTTAAATTTCTCTGAGAACATAAGGGAATTTTGGTTCCTATTACCTACATTCACAGCCTTAGTTTTTCAGTTTCAGTCTGAAGGGATCAGAACTCAATTTGGAAGAAAGATAAAAACGTCATCTTTAAGAATGCCTACTTAGAGGCAAGTAGCTTTCATTATTTCTTTGACTAGCCCTTCTTCTAGATGAATAGAGATTACAGATGCCCCACTGCCTTGCGAAACCAAGGCCTCCAAATAAATAATAAAAATAATCTATCAAGTTATAAATAAGTACTCTAACAAATGGAGCTTGTAACAGAAGACACCTGCAGATCTGTATGGCAAACTAAAAGCTGCTTTCTGGCAGGAGTATAGTTTAAGCACTTCTTGAAAAAGAAACAGTGGTAGCATAATGGGCACGGAGAAATAGTTGCTGTTCTTTACTGTTCTGTTGATGAGAAGCTGTATGGACAACTCTGGATATTCTTACATCTAGCCAATTAAAACTCTCTTTAATAACTCTGTCACATAACTTGAGTAGTTAATGTTTTCCTGACTGAGAATAAGGTATGAAGAGAATTGAAAACCCATGGCTTTAATTGGTAACCTGCTTAACATCTAAGGATAAATTTTGATTATGGAAGAATTACTTTAATATTATGAGGACTGTAAGAGCATAAGCTATGAAAACCTGCAACTTGATCCATCTTGCCTGCTAGGGAGTAAGTGAGAACTGGGAAAATGAAAGCGCATTTTTTCTAACAATCTCAAGTGGAAGTGTTGTAAGGTAAAGTTTAAGTCAAGTATTTCAGCCACACCACCAACTTGCAAAAGGTGAAGGGAAAGATTGAGAGAATGAAGAACCACCCACTGTAGGAAAAGGCTGGGTTTGAGACCATTTAAGGGACCTGTAAGTGCACAATCCATGGGATCTGATGAGATACATCCATGGGTCCTGAGAGAACTGGCTGAGGAAGGGGCTACACCACTGTCCATTATATCTGAGAAGTATAGTTCCCACTGACTGGAAAAGGGGAAACATAAGCCCTATTTTTATAAAAGGAAATAAAACGCAGGGAAGTCCAGGCCAGTCAGTCTCACTTTAGTATCTGGCAAAATCCTGTAGGAGATCCTCCTGGAAAGCACGCTAAGGCACATGGAAAATGAGGTGATTGGTGACAGCCAATACGGCTTCACTAAAGGCAAATTGTGCCTAACTAATTTGGTGGCCCCCTACGATGGGGTTAAGCAGTGGTGGATGAGGGATGAGTAACTGACAACACCCACCTGGACTTGTGCAAAGCATCTGACACTGTCTCGCATGACATCTTTGTCTCTAAACTGGAGAGACATGGATTTGACACATGGACCGCTCGGTGGATAGGGAATTGGCCAGATGGTTGCACTCTACAAGTTGTGGCCAGTGATTCCACATCCACGTGGAAAGGAGTGACAAGTCGTGTTTGTTCCTCACGGGTCAGTATTGGAACCAGCACCGTTTAACATCTTTGTCAGTGATGCGGACAGGGAATCGAGGGCACCCTCAGCAAGTCTGCTGACAACGCCAAACTGTGTGATGCACATGCTGGAGAGAAGGGATGCCATGCAGGGGGACCTTGACATGCTTGAGCAGTGGGCCTCTGTGAGCCTCATGTAGTTCAACAATGACAAGTGTAAGCTCCTGCACCTGGGTCGGGTCAGTCTCAAGCAGAAGTACAGGATGGGTGGAGAATGGATCGAGAGCAGCCCTGGAGAATATGTCTTCGCGGTGTTCACAGATGAAAACTCAACATGACTCGGCAATGTGAGCTTGTAGCCCCGAAGGTCAACCCTGTCCTGGGCTGCATCAAAAGAAGAGTGACCAACAGGCAGAGGGAGGGGATTCTCCTGCTCCATTCTGCTTTTACAAGACCCCGTTTGGAGTACTGTGTCCTGATCTGGGGCCCCCAACACAAGAACGATGTTGACCTGTCAGAACGAGTCCAGAGGAGAGCCATTAAGTTGATCACAGGGCTGTATGATCTCAGCATATCCCACCACAACATGCTGAGAGTTGGGGCTGTTCAGCCTGGAGAAGGGAAGGCTCTGGGAAGACTTAGAGCAGCCTTCCAATATCTGAAGTGTGCTTACAAGAAGGCTGGAGAAGGGCAAAGTGACTGGCCTTAAAATGAAGGAGGGTAGATTTAGATATTGGGAAGAAATTCTTTACTACAAATGTGATGAGGCATTGGAACAGGTTGCCCAAGAGAGGCTGTGGATGCCTCATCCCTGGAGATGTTCAAGGCAAAGCTGAACGGGGCTGAGTAACTTGGCCGAGTGGAAGGTTCTCTGCCCGTGGCAGAGGGGTTGTGACAAGATGATCCTTAAGGTCCCTTCTAACCCAGCCCATTCCCTCTGCAAATCTCTCTTGCCTTCCTATTACGACAGGCCCATGGGAATCTGTTTACATTACACTATAGTCACACACTGTGACCCTGAGAGTAGATCAGCTGGTGAGAACATGGTGCCATTAACACCAAGGTTGTGGGTTTGATCCCTCTATGGGCAATTCACTTAAGAGTTGAACTTGATCCTTGTGGGTCTATTCGAACTCAGAAAATTCTCTGATTCTGTGATTCTATTATTCAGTCACCGTAAGTAGATACTAGCAGTGGTTCAGTGTCTTGATTAAGAACTAAAATGAAGACAACAGATGATGAATGATTAGTTCTAACAAACTCAGAGATCCCAACCAGGCTGCTATTGGGATTGTAAAGAAGTCAACCACGTGATTCCATACTTGGAGCAGAGTGTTTAAAAGGGCAAATATGGAGATGTGCCAGTAAGGCAAATGGTACTGTTGGCCCACATCACAAATTACACATCTGGATGTTCAAAGACTACTCAAAAAAACCCCACACAGCCCTACACAGTCTCAGAGTATTTCCATTTTACAAGCTAGGCAGAACCAAAACATATCTGCAAGCCCACTTGTCTTACTCATATCTTACAAAGTTTAGAAAAGTGTCACCTGCACACTGAGTAAGTAACATGTCATTAACATAGAAAAAAAATTAAAGATATACCCTCTAATAACACAATCAAGTGACATGACTGTATTTATTTCTGTTACTGATACTACTTATTTATCTGACAGGTAATGGAGAGACAGCATCTGAGATTTGCTCGGAATGCCAGAGACAAATCCTGGGCATACACACTTCTCCAGGAAACCATCTTTACATCTGAGTAAAGGTTTGACAACTCTGCATCACAGCCTCACAGAACACCCAAGGTCAAAAGGGGCCCCTGGAAACCATATAATCTAATCTCACTATACGAAGCACAGTCAACTAGAACACGCCACTCAGGACAATGTCCAATTGGGCTCCTAGTAACTTGGAAAAGGGAAACTCCAGAACCTGTTACAGTCTTTGCCCACTTCCATAGTAAAAAGGTTTATTCATATGTTTAAATGGAATTTGTTATATTTCAATTTGTGCCCGCTGTCCATTCATCGGATATCGCTGTGAAGAGTCTAGTTGCACCTTCTTTACATTCTTTTATCAGTTATTTATGCATATTTACAAGATCCATAACTATGCACAATTCTACCCTCTTTGTTTTCATATTATTTAAAATAAAAGTATGTCAGCATGAGAATTTCTGGTGGCAAGAATTGCAGTTCAGCAAACAATTTAAGATGGCAAAACTGGGCACCAAAGTGAATTCAGAAAACCTCATCTATCCCCTATTCTCGTCCAGTCACTTCTGCTCCTGAACTGTTCATCCCTTGTACAAGCACAAATATCTGTGCAGCTACATAGTTAAACAACCCATTCACCTTAAAAGCCCAAAAAATCCCACTTCACTTTTATTACAGCAGAATTGTTTCTCCAACCCAATTCACCCTCAGTGTTCATTAGAAATCTATGTCCATCTAAATAAAAAAAGCCTTCTTTCCAGCACTACGATTTCACATATAAGAACATGTACTATCCCAAATAATGAACTCCCCCAATTAAATGATGAAACCAAAAGGAACCAGGTTAATTTTTGTCAGTGTTACCTGTCAATGAGGAATGAGTCCATGGCAAAAATTATGCAGTTACAACTCCAGCACAGCATTGAGACGTGATGGAAAAACCCCTATGTCACTGCACCAGTCCTCCTAACACATTGCTTTCCCAGTAATGTTGCCGAATGTCTATCGTATGGGTGATTCCCATTCTCTAAGACCGAAAGCAAATTGTACAAAGCCACACCACACACTGCTTGAGACAAGACTGTGTGAATATGCTGAGAAAGGAATCTTACTGCCTACACTTTTATGTTTTAGCACAAAGAGTTAAAAACATATTTAAACACTGTCAGTCTTAAAAAGAAACATTCCTAAAGTCTGTTTGCTAAGTCACTGTGACCATCAAGGATGATTTCAGCGCTGACTACGAATCACTATCATTCATCCTCCTGCCATTCTCTTCAAACGAGCCCTCTGCCACCCATCCATCATCCATGTATGTTGCCTCCTATTGGCTCTGAATTAAGAACACTACACTACGTTTCTTCGCTATTACACCTTCCTATACTTCACCAACTATTTCTCGTCTTTTCTGCACCAATACTCTCTGTTCGGTTGATTCGGAAACATGACTCACAACTGCCTCTTACTCTGCTTCTTCACTGGTAACAGATACAAGAAACTCAATGAATAAAGGAGTTAAATCTCATCATCGTAGGTAAAAATGCTGTCTCTTGACAATTTCGCATCATCTCAGACACCGATGACTTTATTGCTTGGAGTATTTTATGCTAATTGCTGTCAAGGTAAAAAAAAAATTCTTTACAGGCACATCACATTCAGGCTAAGTGTAAAGTATTTATATGAATAAACATCATCTGCAAAATCAGTAAGAAATCACATCACTTAATTGGTAAGTTTTCTGGCAAATGAACTTCATTAAATCACCCCCATTTCTTTCCGTACATATGGGTTTTTTCTTTACCTGCGAAGTTGACATGCGAGAGGTATCTTGTCGGCCTGTTAAGTCGGACGAGGAGATATTGACTGGGGCTCCACGATGCAATCTCATACTCACTTTCCTTTCTCGTTCCATACCAGATACTGGCCGAGGAGAGGTGTTGGCTGTGGGAAAAACTGCATTAGATTCTCATAACGAGAAATGCAATTGTAACATGGTCACTGAACAAATTACACTTTTGCTGTTTGCACATAAAAATTCCACAAACTCAAGGCCTTTGTTTTACATTCACGGACATTTCAGTATCAATTAGCATGTAATGAGAATATATAATCACCTTCAATCTACAAAAAAGCAAGGGGTATAAAAACTAAAACAAAAAAACCCAAACTCTGACTAGAGACAAAGTTCAAATTAGTCTACAAGGCGCACCTACCCAGGTATTTGGTTACTCACCAGCATGTGAAGTTGGCGTAAGGGGAGTAGGAGGAGCTACATCTTGCGTTCCTCTCAGCCTGCCAGATGCAGTGGAGGGTAATCCACGCACAGCTGGACTTCGTGTATGTCTTAACCTTTCCTCTCGTTCTCGCCTTTCACGTTCAGCATCTTCAGCCGCTCTGCTTGCACCCTGCGGGTCAAGACTAGTGAACAACTTGGGGATTACTGAGTTTACAACTACATGTTTGGATAAAAATACTGAAAAGAAAGAACCGGACAACATGTAAATTAAAATTTGATACAGCATTCATTATTTTGATAAAATTTCTTTAGAACTGCCATGAATTTTGTTCATACAACTGGTAATATAGTCTTCAAAATGCTGAAGTACACACATACTGCTATGGCAGCTGGACACCTCCCCAGGAGTTGTAAATGACCCATGCTAAACATCAAGGTGGGATCAAAATAATAATTCCACAACCTAACCTGGTGACTGCCCTAGTGGAAGTGTCTCAGAAACCTTACACATTGAAAACCCGTAATTTCAACTGGGTTGTTATTCAACCCGTATATCACGGATCCTGTCTCTCTTGCCTTTACTCATTTCGTGATCTTTTTTTCCTATAGAATAGAGCTGCCAGGAAGAAAAAGGGAAGACAATCTCACAGTATCAGTTAAGATAGTCAAAACTGACAATGTAATAACAAAACCCAACCAAAACCATTAAAAATTAAAAAGTTTTAGAAAGCTATGTCAGATACTCACAAATTTTAGCATGTTCCAGTCAAATACATAGTCATAGGAGAACCCTTGTCGATGGAAGAGGTTTCTGAATAATTGCCTTAGATAAGAATAGTCCGGTTTGTCATCAAAACGCAAAGAACGGCAGAAATTCAAGTATGTGGCAAACTCCGCTGTAAGTAAAGAAAGCTTGGTTTTTCTCTTCACATTTGCTTTTTATAATTCTAAATAAAGAAAAAACCAAACCACCCTGAACACAAAAAGTGGGAAATCTCCAAAACATAAGAAAAAGAAAAATGCCCTAATACTAGGAATCTACCAAAGGGACCACTATAACCCACCTATCAAGACAACACTGAAAAATAGTCTATCACAGAGCAGGCAAAACTCTCACTTGCCGACAGCAGAGAGGACCCATTAGTACAGTTTTTTAACCAACAGTTGACGGTGGAGGAGAGATTTAAAACTTTTCTTTGAATAGACTTAACACAATTTTTTGTGGGACATGGACTAGCATCTCCTTGTTAAGCCACATAAAGATTCACTTCTGCTATCTCACAAAACACACAAAAACTAGGGGACTCAAATTTCCCACGTAAGTCATGCTACATTTTTTAATTTGTAATAGTCTGAAAGTTTGTTTTTAGATGGCAAACAAAATATTAGTTACACAGACAAAAAAAAAATTGTAGTGAATTCAATATACCAGAAAAAACAGCAGTATCAAAAGACTAGCTTTTGAATTTAAGTCTTTCCAGATGAAATAAGATACTAAAAATTTACGTTAAGGAAGACATTTTAAAAAATGGTACAAGTTGAATAGTCTTCCCTGCCTGTTAACCCCAGGGAAAAACACAGTTCATGAATGTAAACGAACATGTATGATGCAATATTTGAAACATATCAAAGACGATGAATTTTCCTACAACCCGAACAAAAACTGTAGCTCTTGTCATTGTAACTAGTTGCCAAAGCCAAGAGGGGGCAAAGAAGAGACATAACTCCTCATGAAATGAAAATATTCTGATGACAGCTAGCGTTAAAAACTTTTAAAACAGATTTAAGTATCATTTCTCAGGAATCAAAAATGCCTTGTTATTGTTGTGGTGCAAATAAACTGAGAAACAGAACAGCTTTGAGGTATAATGTCAGGATATAAGAGGGTTTCTTATGCCTCTCTCAAATGTTAACCTTCAACAGGCCGAACCTGGGATGACAAGTGGCAAATAAAATAGGCTAAGAGGTGCATCTGACTATGCAATCCAATTTATCCATGAAACAATACGCACACCTGTTTGTCCGTTATGAGTTATCCAGCCAACACATGCAAACAAAACACAGCGCAAATCAGATGTACCAAGCTACCCTTCCACTTGAGGGTACCACAGTTATTATTTACCAAGAGTTTAGACATGGGATAATTAGAAATGCTCTATGAACACAAAGATCCTAGTCTTGACAGCACAGTATTTTATCACAGATGTGCCAAATTGTGAGGGGTTCGGGAAGGAAAGTCGAGGCGGGGGGGGAAGAGAGAGAAGTGAAAAAGACTGGTAGAATTTGGTGTAAAGAAAAGTACCGCTAAAACATGAACATGTAGGCCCTAGTGTCACAAAAGAGTAACTTACAAGGATATCCTTTACACAAAACCTCAATGGGTGTAGACATTTTCTTTTCACTGATACGTTCGTATTTCTGCCTCTTTGTTGCTGCTTTCAATCCCTGCCAGGGGAGGGAGCCCAGGTTAAAATACATCAGTACATAGCCCAAGGACTCCAAGTCATCTCTGCGAGATTGCTCTACAACAGCATAAAAAAGTGAACTCATTAGGTTTCGTTTTCTACTGGAAAAACAAAAGACTGTGCAACAAGACTGTCATAGAAACCCTTAGAAAAACAAGAGATAGCTGAGACCTACTATGCACATGATAAACTCATTCAGTACAAGAAAAAGCCTACTACCCTTACAGTTATTAAAAAATGTGCTAATTCCTGACCATTACAAACTGATCAAATCCCACCCAATCAAGAGATGCAAGACCACACATGCTGTGCTATTAGTGCCAAAAATAGAGACTGTCTACTATGCCCCCATAAAGGAACATCCACTTTCACTAAAATTACGTGCATTGACACTTAAGTTTCTATTTATTGCTTTCCCCAGCTCACCAATTCCAAGATGAGTGTTGATGGATGCGTAACGGGCAGTTCCTGTTAAGTTTTTATTTTCACGATATGGAATATGTTGGTGAGTTCGAGCATCTCGATACTTCTTTGCTAGTCCAAAGTCTATTATGTAGACAAGATTGCCTTTCTTCCCCAGGCCCATTAGGAAGTTATCCGGCTTCACATCTCGGTGGATGAAGTTCTTAGAGTGAATGTATTCAATTCGACTAATCTAAATATAGACAACAAAAACCCCCGTTGTCGAGAAACTAGTTAGGCATACACCTTTTCCTTACAAAAACACTAGCAATACTGTCTTTGTAGCAAAAGAGGCAAAAAAACTTTTTACTGTAAATTCTAAGGGCATTAACAAGAACATTATATAGAAGACAACAGATAAACCTTTTTTCCAGGTCTTTCCCTGTGTCTACTTTATATTTATTTCCAAAAACTTTCTTGGGGGAAATTTCATCTCTAAGTTACAGAAATAAAATGTAGTTGATTATGATTTCTCAGAAAATTTTAATATCCCAACATGTTGCACTATCACAAAGAACAGAACAGTTTCCTACCATTTGGTCAGCAAGCAGCAGAACTGTCTTGAGACTAAATTTCCTTGAACAAAAATTGAAGAGATCTTCAAGACTTGGTCCCAACAGCTCCATCACCATAACGTTGTAGTCCCCTTCAGCTCCACACCACTTAATTGTGGGAATACCCACTACAAAAAGGAAACAGTTTATTCAGTATAACAATTTGATTTATACAATTCATACGCACATATCTTCAAGGCTCTTAAGATGAACTTTAAGGGGGTCATTACTGTGACTGTTTACTGTGAATGTTACTTAGCTTGTAATTTGACAATACTGAGCATTTTTTGCTGGATTTGAACCTTAAGCATTCCACAAACATTAATTCTCATGTAATAAGGCACAAATCGGAACTCTGAAAATAAAGACACTGACAAACCACAAGATATTATTAAACAATTCCAGGTGGCAGATACGAAGATGTAAAACCAGTTAAATCTTTGAAGAAAGAAAATAATTTGCTTGCCTCCACCCTGCATCATTTTGTAGATTTTACTCTCGATGTGAAGCTGAGGATGTTTGGTTTTCACACATTCCAGCTTAATTGCAACCTCCTCTCCGGCAGCAATATCAGTTCCTAAAACCACAAGAATTTAAAACATTGGTCAAATTATTTTTTCGAGATGTGTTTCCTTTGCCAAGCCTTAAACAACACAAGTATTGACAAACTATTTCTCAATGGCAAACACCCAGAGATTATGAAGTACTTTCGGCCACGATTATCTAAAAATTTTTTCTGAAACCTTACAGATACTCTCTGACAGACCAGTATTTAAAAAGACAACTGTCAGACACTAAAACAAGATGCCAAAACTGCTGCTATCCCATCAAAAAAAAACCCATTGTAGCTGCATTTAAAACAAAACCTGGGAATTGGAAACAGGGAAAAATAATCAAATTTTCTGTTTCGAAGCATAAAACCAAGCTGGAAATACACTCAAGTAATCTAAAATTCACTGAGGGCTATAAGAAAGCACATATACTTAAAAATAATTTATGATTTCTGAAATAACTTTAAAAGTTATTTTAAGACACTTATGTCTGCTGTACAGTCTGAACAACACCAAGTAGAAATTTCATTTTTTTAAAAACCCAACCATGTTTCGTTATCACAAAAAGCACAGTTTTCAAATGTCTGTGCTACAGACAGGTAATGTCTGTGCTAATGACAGGCAAACCAAACGGGGGTCTACAAAAGGCTTCAGTTCTTGAGAGACAGTAATTTCCCATGGAAAAATAAACCTATGCCACCAGCTGGATCTTCCACTCACCTGTGCTAATTACTGGCTCAGGCATGACATTTGCAATAAGCCCCTACATGTAAATTCATGGCAGTATTTAAAAATAAAGCGTAAAAACTAGAGAATTTATTGTGCAAAATCCAGCATGGCATTAATACTAATATACAGCAAAATACTACTTTCTGTACAACTTTACTGGTGTGAGCTGTATGCATAAAAAGTGATAAAAAAAAAGTTTCTTTTACTTGCACTTTGAATTTATACTATAATATAAACCGATTTATCTGAATAGTAATCAAATGTTTGAGTTTTTCAAATCATCTAAGACTTTTCAGAGTTTAATTACTGTCTGAATCACCACCCAAAATCCCAACAGTAGTTAACGAGGATTTTTGCACAAACGTTAGCACAATCCTTCTCACAAGTCTTCAATCTTCTATGTGAGCATTGCAGAGAGAAAGAATCACATTCTCTATCTCTAGACAACTACATATCATAAGTCAGAAATGTGGATTTTCCATCAGGCATATGATCTGTATTATGGATAATCAGTATTTCACTGTCTGTAAACAAACAGCTTTAGTAAATAAATTATTTTGGAATGCCAGCTGTGCACTGCAACATGAAGTATTGCTGTCTAGAAAAAAACCCTACCACCCCACATACTGCATGAACTGTCAGAGATACCACATACATTATCAAGACACTGCTTTTACCTTCCACAAATATGCAGTAAATATACCTTAGCCCCTGCAAGTTCCACCTTCCCCCCACTTCTTGATTTGCTTTTCAAAGTTAACTCAATTTTCAAAAGCGGAGTACTTGTTTCTACGGGACAAGACATAAAATCCCTTTTTCTTTGGATCTAACCCATTTCATACGGTTTCAGAGTTTACATAATATACTGAGCATTTAAAAACACCAGCTTTCAAAACTTGACGCACCCACCACTTGTGCTTGTCATAATCATAAGCAGTAGGCTATTATGTTACATAGCTATAGAAATGGATAGGCAAAGACAATTCCGATCCTGTACATTCTACAATTGCATGTCAATCACGATTAGGGCGACAGCCAAGCAACAGGATTATCCAAATTATGAGGACTGTTCGAAGGATTTAAGGTTTTTTTGAACTGCAACCTAATCACCTGTAGCTGTGGAATTTTTTTTAGGCCTCACAGGTGAAACAAACATCCCTGTAACAGCAATTTTTCCTAGTCCACTGCGGTAATATTTAACTCTGATACACTTTTCTTTCCCAATATGTTTTTCTCAGTGTGGTGGGTTGTGGGGGCATATGTGGTTTTTTTCTTTTTAAATTAGGCGATTTTTACCTTTCTCCCCATTTTACAGAGGCGAACCGGGCCCAAGGTCACCAGACAACAGGAAGAGGCAGCCAGAATTCCCGATTTCCGCACTGTCCAAATTAGGACATGATATCAACGAAATATTACATTGTTACTGCTGTGGCCTTAGCAAGGTACTTCACATCAAAAGGCATCTATTGGTCAGCAGCGCAGCCTGAGCTGGAAACGGGGTGAATGAGGTTCCGGGGGTTGCCCCCGGCCCAACCTCGCCGCAGGCTGTGCGTGGGCCGGGCAAAGAGCAGCGCCCAGCGCCCGACCCGGTTAGCCCCCCGGTATTCTCCAGAGTTACAGAACCGCCAGGTCAGCCCCCGGCGAGCCAACCCTCCTTACCCAGGTAGATGTCCCCGAAGGAGCCGCTCCCGATCTTCCGGCCCAGCCGGTACCGGTTCCCAACCCTCAGCTCCATGGCGGCAGCTCGGCTCGTCCGCGACCCGGTTCTGTTGCTCTGCCCGGCCCGTCGGCTCGCGCTCTGATGCTTCACAGTCCTGCGGCTCCGGATGCCATCGCGGCTCTGGTCTCGCCGCTCGATACTGGCTGCACAGGCGGCACCGCCACCGCAACTCCCGGGCAGGATGGACGCGGATTAGCCGCCCGAGCAACCCCTCAGCGCCGAAGAGCCCCAGCAGCCATTCTGTGTGACCTCACTTCCCTGGCGCCGGCCCCACCCCTCCGCCCCCCCGCGCTCGCTCCGGGCGGGGCCGCGCGGGCCCAGCCCTTCCCGCCGGCCTGGCTCCACCGTGGCGCTCGGTCGGGTCGCAGCCTGCCGAGCGTGGGAGGTGTTGTGGTTCCGGCGGCCGTGGGTCACTGTAGTGGCGATGTATTCTGGCAGCGGTGCTTTCCGAGGAGTGCTCATTTGACTGCGGAGTGCCAGGGACAAAGTCTGAGTCAAGACCCCGCAAATTTCAGGGGAAAACCCTGTCATTCTTGCTGGAGAGGAGTGTTGGGATCTCCTCTGCCTCTCTGGGCAAGGAAGGATTCCTCAATGGACACGTCCAGCACCTCAGCAGAAACCCAAGCCATTAATTTGTTACAGAGGAAAAATTAGTGGTAATTGCTTCTGATCTGTGGAGAATTTCCTTTGGAATGATCAACCAGAGAGCATATCGAGGCAGAGCGTTTCTTTTGGCTCCTTTTTTTTTTTTCTGGTTTGTCATTTTCTCTGTGGCTTCAATGAATTTAGTGTGCTCCTGTTCAGAAAGCAGTGTATTTGTACCTTGAAATTTGGGGTGGTTTTGATTGTTTAGGGGTTTTTTCTTTCCCAGTTGAATCAGGCCTTCTGCGCATAGTCTGTGTTGTCCTACACGACTGCTTTAGTGCTGGGTCAGAGAGAGAGAAGGGGAATGACTTTTCATTCTCTTGTATTTTTCCAAGAAGAAGTGGGAGGTTGTCTTGCCCCTCCCCAAAGCACTGCAGGCATGTGGGAGTAGCTCCATGCTGGCCCAGTTCTCTGTGAAATACCCATGTGGGAGAGGTTTAAGTCTTAATGACAACTCTGCGGTCTCTTGATGGCAAAGATTGGGTCCTACAGTCCCAGCCTGATGAGGGAGAACAGGAACTTCTGTTCTTCATGGCAAACCTGCTGTTACTCCTTGTACAGGTTTGGTTTTTTTTTCTGTTGTGTGAGTTACTGTCCAGAATCTGTCCAGGAAAAGCTGTTAGAAATACAGAGGTAGAATTGGAATTTAGGTCTGTTTCCTACAAACTCCTACAAAGCCTGAAGGACTGGGCTGATGACTGCTCTTAACAAAGGTGGTTTATGAATATTTTAATAAATATTTCCCATCAGATTTCCCTCAACTCTGGGCAGGAAAGGCAAGGGTTAGGGTCAGGAGTTGTGCAAGCAAGACCTGTTGATTTCTTATGTGCATGTGTCAGTGTGACAGGGCTGGGACAAGGAGGACTCGTGCAGGCACCTACAGAGAAGGCGAGAATGGGAGCGTGCTGTGGAGAAGGAAAATTGCAAGTGTGGGAGAAACAAGGGAGAGAATGATGTATGGGTCATGCTCTGCCTCCAGGAGAGAGGGCAGCAGGAAAGGACGTGGACTAAAACACTGAAGTGCTATTCCCCAGGGAGCCCCTGCACAGCACTGAACTTCCTTCTGCACTTGCTTTCCCTTTCTCAGCAGAGCTGACACATTGGGTGCGGGTCCTGGGGGGATGGAGCTGCCAAGGACAACCTTGGGAGGGTGTTTGCAAAGGAAGGGGGTAGAACAAACTCTTCACGTGGTTTTTTTACTTCTGTATCTCACAATAGGAAATACCTCAGAGGGGCTTACGTCCAAATAAGCCCTGAATATCTCAGGAGGTTTCAGCTGGGAAAGAGGAGTTGTGGAAGAAAACCACCCTAAAAATAGCCAGGGATCATCAGGTTTTCCAGCAAATAAAAACAAGGACAGAGATGAGGGAATCAGGTACCAATTAATAATGATTTGATGGGTGTAGGAATAATTTCTGTATGTTTTACAGTCCCTCTTTATTCCTGGGATGGTTTTAAAATTATGGCTTTAACAGTCAACAAATCCTTGGATCCTAGAGTGGTTTGGGTTGGAAAGGACATCAGGGATCCTCTCCTTCCATCTCCTGCCACAAGGCAGGGACACCTTCCACTAGACTGTCCAGCCTGGCCTTGGCCACTTCCAGGGATGGGGCAGCCACAGCTCCTCTGTGCCAGGCCACCTCCACATCCTCCTAGGGAAGAATGTCTTCTTTATGTGCAATCTTTCCCTTTTTTCTCTGCAGGAAGTGGTCTGTGACAAGGGAATTGGCTCCCAGGAGGCTGAGGATCAGGGCAGGCTCAGCGCAGAGGACGACTTCTACACCCCCGGGCAAACGGGGAAGAAGTAACATCTGCCTCCAGCTGGCTGGAGTTCCTGTTTACTCTGGGCTTTCTGTCCACCAGGAGGGGATCATGGCCAGAGTCATTCAAACCTGGGGAACGATGGCCTTCACACCATCCCTGCAGCCCGTTCAGAGCAGGCTGCTGCCCATTGGCCCCTGATCACAAGTGGATGTGGAAGTGATGTTGTTTAGGGAATGCTGATTGTATTTCCCAAACTTTGGCAACATGGTCATTTAAAAGAGAAAAATATCAAGTCTATGGAAATCCCCTGCAGTTGGGAGCTTGTGGTGCTCTGGATTAAAACTTGGCTTTATAATGTTAAAATTGTGGGCGAGGCGAGGGGCGGTGGCTGAGCAGGGCCAGTGGTGTGCTAGACAAGGCTGGCCTGGGGATTGCGCAGGGACACGGCCTGGGGGTCTCTTCCCTGCGGGGTCACAGCCGTGGGACCTGCCTCTGCCCCACGCAGTGCCTCCTGGTGGGCCCCGCCCATCGTTGGGGACTGTTTTCTTTCCCTGGTCCCAGATGGTCTGCAAGGTGACGCTCATCGCCAAGGATTGGGTGCAGGCTGTACTGGGACTGGGGTTTTGTCAGGCAGGATAAGTTTTTGATTTTTGAGGCTTCCCGGGAACCATGTTCTCAAGGGAGTGCTGTGAGCATGCACCAATAGCCAGCGGTGGCTTGTGGGTAGTGGAGCGGTTGAGGTGTGCTGATGAAGGGGTGGGTGTGTGTAGTGTAGGGTTCTAACCTTGTGTTTGTGTTTTTTCTGTTTCAGGGTTTTTTACACAATTTTTGATTTTGAATAAAAAAAACTCAGCTGGGGGTTTGTTGGTATTGCCATGTATTGTTTTGTAATTGTGTTGACCATTGGAATACAATGTATGGCATTTGTGGATTGTATTGTATTTTTACTGTCTTGTAACTAGTGTTGCAATGAGGGGAAAGGGTTAACCTTTTACAGGAAGACTGCTGCAAGGGTTGATGGGAGATGTAGTGTCTGCAGCAGGCCCCTTCAGGAAGTGCTTGACCTAGCATCCCCACTGGATGGGCTTGAGAGTGACTGATTGGGAATGTTCTATTGAGATGCAGCACTGTTTGAATGTGAAGGGTATATAAGCCTGGCTTGTTCCTCAATAAATGGATTTACTGGTTTGAACTTAAACTGGTTGGTTTGTGAAATCACTGCCACATTTTTATATATACTATATAGAGCCTAATTAGTGCTCCAGATAAGAGTACTGAAGGATTACAGATAACCCACACCAAAAGATGGCTCTCAAAATATTGCTCTACTATGCAGCGAAGGGAGGTTTTTTCAGTCCAACTGCTTTAGCCCAGGCTGCACTTTGATGGCCTCTTGTCCATCAAGCCAACAGCTCCCTGTCAGCTGGGCCCTTTTTCTTCTCCACTTTGGGAGAAGAGGGGAAATCCAGATCAGTAAGGAGATAGAAGGCACTTCCATCTTTTTGAAGTTTAAATTCAACCCTTCTTAAATTCAATCTTCTGGAGTCCGTGAGGAGGGAGGAGGGTGCAAGGAGCAGCACAGGATGAGAGCCCATGGAGGCTGCAGCAGAGGAGGGTGTGCAGGAGCCAAAGGGCAGCTGAGGCCATTCCCCAGGGAATGCCAGATCCTGACGTCTCTGCCCACTTAGGGAAAAGTGCCAACATTGCACAAGTGTTCCATGCCAAAGCATAGTCCTCTCCAAAAAGCAGAAAGTAGGGAAAAGATAAAGGGAGCAATGGGCAGAAAAGGTGGTGATTTGGCAGGTGTGTTTTGAAATGCCTTTTGTCCAGGCTGGGAATTTCCTAGGTGTCGAGCAGCGATTGGTCTGGTTTTTCCCCCCAAAGTGTCCATTCCCTCCCCAAAAGATGTCCTTTTGGCCTGCAGAGGTGCATTACCAAGGAAAACCACAAGACGGAGACACTGAGCAAAAAGAGACCAGGTCTACCCGCTCAAAAGAAGGAGACCAGGTCTACCCGTCAAAAAAAGGAGACCAGGTCTACCCGCTAAAAATAGGAGACCAGGTCTACCCGTAAAAATAGGAGACCAGGTCTACCCGCTAAAAATAGGAGACCAGGTCTACCCGCTAAAAATAGGAGACCAGGTCTACCCGCTAAAAATAGGAGACCAGGTCTACCCGCTTAAAATAGGAGACCAGGTCTACCCGTCAAAAAAAGGACACCAGGTCTACCCGCTTAAAAAAAGAGAACAGGTCTACCCATAGAAAAAGGAGACCAGGTCTACCCATTGAAAAAAGGAGACCAGGTCTACCCATAGAAAAAGGAGACCAGGTCTACCCATAGAAAAAGGAGACCAGGTCTACCCATTGAAAAAAAGGAGAACAGGTCTACCCATTGTAAAAGGAGAACAGGTCTACCCATAGAAAAAGGAGAACAGGTCTACCCATAGAAAAAAGAGAACAGGTCTACCCATTGAAAAAAAGGAGACCAGGTCTACCCATAGAAAAAGGAGAACAGGTCTACCCATAGAAAAAGGGGAACAGGTCTACCCATAGGAAAAGGAGAACAGGTCTACCCCTAGAAAAAAAAGAGAACAGGTCTACCCATTGAAAAAAAGGAGAACAGGTCTACCCATTGAAAAAGGAGAACAGGTCTACCCATAGGAAAAGGGGAACAGGTCTACCCATAAAAAAAGGATTCAGGGCTGTAGCTGTTGTAGTCCCTCAGGAGTCCAACTGTGCTTTATATAAGGAGACCTTGGCCTAATGACCAAGTGTTAGGAAAGAAGGGGGCATGCTGTCTGAGTTTTGAGGTGTAACAAGAGCTGATACTTTTTGCAGTGGGCTGTAGCGTGGAAAGTGCCCAGAGCTGAGGCAGAGGATTGAAAGGGACTAAGCCAGCGAGGGGAAGAAACAAGGAAGAAGGGAAGTGAGGCAGCAGCCAAGCAGCACCAAGTTCCTCTGTCAGCAGGTGAGTTGTCTCGAGGTTCCTAAGGCGGGCACTCAGGGTTTTGGGGGCTCCAGACAGAGAAGACCTCGGAGGCCCCTCGATGAAGCCCTTCAGAATCTTTATCAGGGTAGGTGTGTATGGTTCTAAGTGTGCTAGGAGCTGATGGCCAGAACCCCTGGTGGGCTGGGATCAGTGCAGGGTGTTGTCAGCAAGGAATGCCTGGCTTCTAAAACTCCCCAGCTGAGTCTTAGAGGCTTCTTTGTTTTCAGGCAGCCAAATTGGCCCCAGGCAGGGACTCTGAGCCTGCTCTCCTGGTGTGCCCAGGGATCTCTGGGCCTTCACGCCGGCACCGAGATGTTCTCGGGAAGGCCCTCAGATCCCCGGAGCAGTCTGGGACACGGGCAAGATCCCCCTGCATTTCGGGGGCAGATTGGGCCCCCCTGGAGGGACAGTGCTGTTGCTGCCCCCCGGGCTGGGACACTCGGAAGACTCCGGCGCGCACCGAAATTGTTCTTCGGGGAGCTCCTCCGAGTGCCCCGAGCTGGGGAGCTGAAAGCAAGGTCCCTGGAATGGATTCAGGCATTGCTGAGAGTATCAGAGGTGGAGCTGTCTGTCCTGGCCATGGAGCTCCAGAATGGACTGTAACTGGGTTCTAAAAGTGGTGCTCCAACAGCAAAAGGAGTGTGGGATTGGATTTAAGGAATGAGTGGTGATGGTACCGTTAGCTGTTTTCTCTTGACTGGAATTGTGAGAGCTGCAGGAGTGCAAGGTGTGGGTTCCAGTCCCCACCGTTTGGTTTGCACGTGTCCTGGCCAGACACAGGTCCAGCTTCCTCAGACCTTAACACCCCAGAGGGAGAATTAGGGGATGGCACTGGGAAGGTGATTGGTGTGACAGGGGTTAAACTGGGAAAACACTGGGTATTTCCTCAGTTGGTTTATTTGCAGGCTCCCCTAAGCCTTTGCTGGGAAGAGATGGGTTGGATAAGTTGAGGCAGAAATGAACTTGGAAAATGGGGAGATTGAAATTGTAGTTGCTGACACTAACTGTGTGAGAGCAGCAGCTCTTCTTGTGCAGGAAATAACTCCCATCAGCAGCACCATCCCGACTGAAGCGGCAGATGGAGTTGTTCCTGTGGTGAGGGCCAATGGAATTCCAGGAAAATGGAAGAGGGCAGAGCCTGTAGGTATTAGCCCTAAGCTGGGATCTGTGTGGGTAAGGCAACCCCAGTATCCTTGAAAATCAGAATGCCAGCAGTAGATTTAAAAGATGCCTTTTGCTGCGTGTCCCAGGAGCAAGGCAAGCCAAGAAACCTTTGCTTTTGAAGGAGAAGCTCTGGAAATTGGGAAGGAAGAAGCGAAGCCACCTGAGCCCTCCCTGAGCCACAGGCAGTCCATGAAGTGCCTTCCTGGGAACGGTAGGACGGTGAGGACTCTGGATTGCTCCCTACACGTGTGGTAAGACTGATGCAAACTTTTGAAAGCCCCTGTATGAGTTTCCTGCCTTGGATAGATGGTGCAAGGGCGGCCTTTAGGCAGCCTTTTTTCCAGTTAGCCCTGGAAGGAGGACAGTGATACCTTTTCAGTGCTAGTAGATACTCTGAGTAGATGGCCGTAAGTCTGTCCTTGTTGCACCAGGAGGCCTTATCAAGCTCTCCTATTACAGGAGCTATATCCCACTTCCATCTTTTTGAAGTTTAAATTCAACCCTTCTTTAATTCAATCTTCTGGAGTCCGTGAGGAGGGAGGAGGGTGCAAGGAGCAGCACAGGATCAGAGCCCATGGAGGCTGCAGCAGAGGAGGGTGTGCAGGAGCCAAAGGGCAGCTGAGGCCATTCCCCAGGGAATGCCAGATCCTGACGTCTCTGCCCACTTAGGGAAAAGTGCCAACATTGCACAAGTGTTCCATGCCAAAGCATAGTCCTCTCCAAAAAGCAGAAAGTAGGGAAAAGATGAAGGGAGCAATGGGCAGAAAAGGTGGTGATTTGGCAGGTGTGTTTTGAAATGCCTTTTGTCCAGGCTGGGAATTTCCTAGGTGTCGAGCAGCGATTGGTCTGGTTTTTCCCCCCAAACTGTCCATTCCCTCCCCAAAAGATGTCCTTTTGGCCTGCAGAGGTGCAGTGCCAAGGAAAATCACAAGACGGAGACACTGAGCAAAAAGAGACCAGGTCTACCCGCTTAAAATAGGAGACCAGGTCTAATTGTCTGAGACCAGGGTCTAGCTTAAAATAGGAGACCAGGTCTACCCGCTAAAAATAGGAGACCACGTCTACCCGCTTAAAATAGGAGACCAGGTCTACCCGTCAAAAAAAGGAGACCAGGTCTACCCGCTTAAAAAAAGAGAACAGGTCTACCCATAGAAAAAGGACACCAGGTCTACCCATAGAAAAAGGGAGACCAGGTCTACCCATAGAAAAAGGAGACCAGGTCTACCCATAGGAAAAGGAGACCAGGTCTACCCATAGGAAAAGGACACCAGGTCTACCCATAGGAAAAGGAGAACAGGTCTACCCATTGAAAAAAAGGAGAAGAGGTCTACCCATAGGAAAAGGAGAACACGTCTACCCATACGAAAAGGGGAACAGGTCTACCCATAGGAAAAGGGGAACAGGTCTACCCATAGAAAAAAGAGAACAGGTCTACCCATTGAAAAAAAGGAGACCAGGTCTACCCATAGAAAAAGGAGAACAGGTCTACCCATAGAAAAAGGGGAACAGGTCTACCCATAGAAAAAAGGGAGAACAGGTCTACCCCTAGAAAAAAAAGAGAACAGGTCTACCCATTGAAAAAAAGGAGAACAGGTCTACCCATAAAAAAAGGAGAACAGGTCTACCCATAGAAAAAGAGAACAGGTCGACCCATTGAAAAAAAGGAGACCAGTCCACGACAAAAAGGAGAACAGGTCTACCCATAGAAAAAGGAGAACAGGTCTACCCATAGAAAAAAGAGAACAGGTCTACCCATTGAAAAAAAGGAGACCAGGTCTACCCATAGAAAAAGGAGAACAGGTCTACCCATAGAAAAAGGAGAATAGGTCTACCCATAGGAAAAGGGGAACAGGTCTACCCATAAAAAAAAGGATTCAGGGCTGTAGCTGTTGTAGTCCCTCAGGAGTCCAACTGTGCTTTATATAAGGAGACCTTGGCCTAATGATCAAGTGTTAGGAAAGAAGGGGGCATGCTGTCTGAGTTTTGAGGTGTAACAAGAGCTGATACTTTTTGCAGTGGGCTGTAGCGTGGAAAGTGCCCAGAGCTGAGGCAGAGGATTGAAAGGGACTAAGCCAGCGAGGGGAAGAAACAAGGAAGAAGGGAAGTGAGGCAGCAGCCAAGCAGCACCAAGTTCCTCTGTCAGCATGTGAGTTGTCTCGAGGTTCCTAAGGCGGGCACTCAGGGTTTTGGGGGCTCCAGACAGAGAAGACCTCGGAGGCCCCTCGATGAAGCCCTTCAGAATCTTTATCAGGGTAGGTGTGTATGGTTCTAAGTGTTCTTAGGAGCTGATGGCCAGAACCCCTGGTGGGCTGGGATCAGTGCAGGGTGTTGTCAGCAAGGAAGGCCTGGCTTCTAAAACTCCCCAGCTGAGTCTTAGAGGCTTCTTTGTTTTCAGGCAGCCAAATTGGCCCCAGGCAGGGACTCTGAGCCTGCTCTCCTGGTGTGCCCAGGGATCTCTGGGCCTTCACGCCGGCACCGAGATGTTCTCGGGAAGGCCCTCAGATCCCCGGAGCAGTCTGGGACACGGGCAAGATCCCCCTGCATTTCGGGGGCAGATTGGGCCCCCCTGGAGGGACAGTGCTGTTGCTGCCCCCCGGGCTGGGACACTCGGAAGACTCCGGCGCGCACCGAAATTGTTCTTCGGGGAGCTCCTCCGAGTGCCCCGAGCTGGGGAGCTGAAAGCAAGGTCCCTGGAATGGATTCAGGCATTGCTGAGAGTATCAGAGGTGGAGCTGTCTGTCCTGGCCATGGAGCTCCGGAATGGACTGTAACTGGGTTGTAAAAGTGGTGCTCCAACAGCAAAAGGAGTGTGGGATTGGAATTAAGGAATGAGTGGTGATGGTACCGTTAGCTGTTTTCTCTTGACTGGAATTGTGAGAGCTGCAGGAGTGCAAGGTGTGGGTTCCAGTCCCCACCGTTTGGTTTGCACGTGTCCTGGTCAGACACAGGTCCAACTTCCTCAGCCCTTAACGCAGCAGAGGGAGAATTAAGGGATGGCACTGGGAAGGTGATTGGTGTGACAGGGGTTAAACTGGGAAAACACTGGGTATTTCCTCAGTTGGTTTATTTGCAGGCTCCCCTAAGCCTTTGCTGGGAAGAGATGGGTTGGCTAAGTTGAGGCAGAAATGAACTTGGAAAATGGGGAGATTGAAATTGTAGTTGCTGACACTAACTGTGTGAGAGCAGCAGCTCTTCTTGTGCAGGAAATAACTCCCGTCAGCAGCACCATCCCGACTGAAGCGGCAGATGGAGTTGTTCCTGTGGTGAGGGCCAATGGAATTCCAGAAAAATGGAAGAGGGCAGAGCCTGTAGGTATTAGCCCTAAGCTGCGATCTGTGTGGGTAAGGCAAGCCCAGTATCCTTGAAAATCAGAATGCCAGCAGTAGATTTAAAAGATGCCTTTTGCTGCGTGTCCCAGGAGCAAGGCAAGCCAAGAAACCTTTGCTTTTGAAGGAGAAGCTCTGGAAATTGGGAAGGAAGAAGCGAAGCCACCTGAGCCCTCCCTGAGCCACAGGCAGTCCATGAAGTGCCTTCCTGGGAACGGTAGGACGGTGAGGACTCCGGATTGCTCCCTACACGTGTGGTAAGACTGATGCAAACTTTTGAAAGCCCCTGTATGAGTTTCCTGCCTTGGATAGATGGTGCAAGGGCGGCCTTTAGGCAGCCTTTTTTCCAGTTAGCCCTGGAAGGAGGACAGTGATACCTTTTCAGTGCTAGTAGATACTCTGAGTAGATGGCCGTAAGTCTGTCCTTGTTGCACCAGGAGGCCTTATCAAGCTCTCCTATTACAGGAGCTATATCCCACTTCCATCTTTTTGAAGTTTAAATTCAACCCTTCTTTAATTCAATCTTCTGGAGTCCGTGAGGAGGGAGGAGGGTGCAAGGAGCAGCACAGGATCAGAGCCCATGGAGGCTGCAGCAGAGGAGGGTGTGCAGGAGCCAAAGGGCAGCTGAGGCCATTCCCCAGGGAATGCCAGATCCTGACGTCTCTGCCCACTTAGGGAAAAGTGCCAACATTGCACAAGTGTTCCATGCCAAAGCATAGTCCTCTCCAAAAAGCAGAAAGTAGGGAAAAGATGAAGGGAGCAATGGGCAGAAAAGGTGGTGATTTGCCAGGTGTGTTTTGAAATGCCTTTTGTCCAGGCTGGGAATTTGCTAGGTGTCGAGCAGCGATTGGTCTGGTTTTTCCCCCCAAACTGTCCATTCCCTCCCCAAAAGATGTCCTTTTGGCCTGCAGAGGTGCATTACCAAGGAAAACCACAAGACGGAGACACTGAGCAAAAAGAGACCAGGTCTACCCGTCAAAAGAAGGAGACCAGGTCTACCCGTCAAAAGAAGGAGACCAGGTCTACCCGTTTAAAATAAGGAGACCAGGTCTACCCGCTTAAAATAGGAGACCAGGTCTACCCGCTAAAAATAGGAGACCAGGTCTACCCGCTTAAAATAGGAGACCAGGTCTACCCGTCAAAAAAAGGACACCAGGTCTACCCGCTTAAAAAAAGAGAACAGGTCTACCCATAGAAAAAGGACACCAGGTCTACCCATTGAAAAAAGGAGACCAGGTCTACCCATAGAAAAAGGAGACCAGGTCTACCCATAGGAAAAGGAGACCAGGTCTACCCATAGGAAAAGGAGACCAGGTCTACCCATAGGAAAAGGAGAACAGGTCTACCCATTGAAAAAAAGGAGAACAGGTCTACCCATAGAAAAAGGAGAACAGGTCTACCCATAGAAAAAGGGGAACAGGTCTACCCATAGAAAAAGGGGAACAGGTCTACCCATAGGAAAAAGAGAACAGGTCTACCCATTGAAAAAAAGGAGAACAGGTCTACCCATAGAAAAAGGAGAACAGGTCTACCCATAGAAAAAGGGGAACAGGTCTACCCATAGGAAAAAAGGAGACCAGGTCTACCCCTAGAAAAAAAGAGAACAGGTCTACCCATTGAAAAAAAGGAGAACAGGTCTACCCATAGAAAAAGGAGAACAGGTCTACCCATAGGAAAAGGGGAACAGGTCTACCCATAGAAAAAGGAGAACAGGTCTACCCATTGAAAAAGGAGCACCATACTCCAATGTATAGAAGGAGAACAGGTCTTACCGATAGAAAAAAAGAGAACAGGTCTACCCATTATAAAAGGAGACCAGGTCTTCCATAGAAAAAGGGAGACCAGGTCTAATTAGGATATGGGGTGACATCATACAAGTGATGTCACAGAGGACTGTTGACAACAAAGGGACAGGCGTGGTATCACAGGGACATCAGTGACATCACAGGGGACATCAATGATTTCATCAAGGACGTGGAGTGACATCACAGTGACACCAGTGATATCATCAAGGACAATGGTGACACCACAGGCGATAGAGGTGACATCACAGGGACATGGGTGACATCATTGGGGACCAGTAACATCACAGTGGACTGGTGGCAAAAAAGGAAAGTCCTGATGTCACAGGGAAATCAGTGACATCATGGAGACAGTGGAGCCACCGCTGGGGACAATGGTGACATCACAGAGACAGCAGTGACATCACTGGAAACCAGTGACATATCAGGAGACTGGTGACATGAATAGGAAAGTCGTGATGCCACAGAGGCATCGGTGACATCACAGGGGACATCAGTGACTGCACAAGGCCAGGAGTGACACCACAGAGACACCAGTGACATCACTGGTGACATCGGTGACAGTCGTGATTTAACAGGGAGATTGGTGACATCACAGGGGTCTGGTGACATCATAAGGATATCTGTGACATCACGGGGACAAGGTGCCACTGCTGGGAACAGAGGTGACACCACAGCAACAGCAGTGACATCATTGAGGACCAGTGACATCACAGGGCGCTGGTTAAAACAAGGGGACACCTGTGATGTCACTGGGAAATTGTTAACATCACGGGGACATGGTGACACCACTGGGGACAGTGGTGAAATCACAGGGACAGCAGTGACATCACTGAGGACCAGTGACATCACAGAGTACCGGTGACAACAAAGGGACAGTCGTGATGTCACAGGAACATCGGTGAAATCACAAAGGACCAGGGTAACATCACAGAGACACCAGTGACATTATCGGGTACAATGGTGACATAAGAGAAGACATTGGTGACATCACAGGGAAAGTAGTGATGTCATTGTGGACCAGTGACATCACAGGGGACTGTTGCAAGCAAAGGGACAGTCGTGATGTCAAAGGGGACATCACTGACATAACAACAACAGGGGTGGCATCACGGAGACACCAGTGACATCATCTAAGACACTGGTGACATCACAGGGGCAGTGGTAACATCATAGGGATGTCGATGACATCACTGGGGACCAGAGACATCACAGGGGAGTGTTGAAAACAAGGGACAACCCTGATGTCACAAGGACATCGGTGACTTTACAGGGACAGGGTTAGCATTACAGAGACCCCAGTGACTTGATCGGGGACATTGCTGACATCACAGGGGACAGTTGTGACATCACAGGGAAAGTAGTGACATCATAGAGGATCAGTGACATCACAGGGAACTGTTGACAATAAAGGGATGGCTGTGATGTCACAGGGACATTGGTGATATCTTTAAAGACCAGTGACATCACAGGTGACTAGTGACAATGAAAAGATAACTGTGATGTCACAGACATAAGAGTGATGTCACAGGGGTCTAGGGACATCACAGGGACTTCGGTGACATCAAGGGGACAAGGTTCCACTGCTGGGGACAGTGGTGACACCACAGGCAAAACAGTGACATCACTGGGGACCAGTGACATCACAGGGGACTGGTGACAATGAAAGGATAGCAGTGATGTCACAGGGAAATCAGTGACATCAAATAGGACATTGGTGACTTCACAAGGGTAGGGGTGAAATTACAGAGACAACAATGACATCATCGAGGATATTGGTGACATCACAGGGGACACTGGTGATATCACAGGAACATCGGTGAAATCATTGGGGAAGAGTGAAATTCCAGGGGAATGGTGAAAAGAAAGGGACAACAGCAATGTCACAGGGAAATCAATGACATCACAGGGACAGGGATGAAATCACAGAGACAGCAGGGACATCATTGAGGACCAGTGACATCACGAGGGACTTGTGAAAACAAAGGGACAGTCATGATGTCACAGGGACATCAGTGACCTCATGGGGTCATAGTGCCACCACTGGGGACAGTGGTGACATCACAGTGACAGTAGTGACATCAGTGGGGATGAATGACATCACATGCTGAAAACAAAGGGACAGCCGTGATGTCACAGGGACATCTTTGAAATAACAGGGGACATCTGTAACATCACAAGACCAGGTCTGGTCTCACAAAGACACCAGTGACATTACCGATGACACTGCTGGCATCACAGGGGACAGTGGTGACATCACAGAGACAGTAGTGACATCACTGGGGACCAGTGATATCACAGGGGTCTGGTGAAAACAAAATGACAGCCGTGATGTCACAGGGACATCACTGCCATCGGTGACATGACAGGGATATGGTGCCACGGCTTGACACAGTAGTGACATCACAGAGACAGTAGGACATCACTGGGGACATTGTTGACATCACAGGGGACAGTGATGACACCACAGACACACCAGTGACATCAAAGGGGTCATCTGTGAAATCACAGCCAACATCACTGATTTCACAAGGCAAGGGGTGACATCGCAGAAACACCAGTGACATTATCGGTGTCACTGGTGACATCACAACAACATGGTTGACATCACTGGGGTAATTAGTAACTTCACAAAGACAGGGGTGACATCACAGAGACACCAGTGATGTCATCGGGGACATGGATGACATCACAGGGGACAGTGGTGACATCATAGGGACAGAGGTTACATCATTGGGGAACAGTGACATCAAAGGGTACTGATAACAACAAAGGGACAGCAATGATGTCACAAGCACCTCAGCGATATCACGGGGACCTGGTGTCACTGCTGAGGACAATGGTGACATCACATAGACAGCATTGACATCATTGGGGACATTGTTGCAATCACAGGGGACAGTGATGACATCACAGAGTCACCAGTGACATCAACGGGGACATGTGTAACATGATAGAGGGCATCAGTGACATCACAAGTCCAGGGATGACTTCACAGAGACACCAGTGACATTATCAGTGACACGGGTGGCATCACAGGGGATAGTGGTGACATCACAGAGACATAAGTGACATCACAGGGGACTGTTGACAACAAAGGGACAGCCGTGATGTCACAGGGCTATTCGTGACATCACAGGGAACCGTGGTGACATCACAGAGACACCAGTGACATCACTGGGGACATTGGGGACATCGCAGGGGACAGTGGTGACATCACCTGATTGGGGACCAGTGACATCAGAGACACAGCAGTGATGTCACAGGGACATCGGTGAATCAAAGGGGTCTGGTGACATCACAGGGAAATTGATCACATTACAGGGACATGGTGGCACTGCTGGGGACAGCGGTGATATCACCAGGATAGCAGTGACATCACTGGAGACTGTGACATCACAGGGGACTGCTTACAGCAATGGAAAAGCCGTGATGTCACAGGGACATCGGTGACATCACAGGGACATGGTGCTACTATTGGGGACAGTGGTGACATCACAGAGACAGTAGTGGTGTCCTTGAGGACCAGAAATATCACAGGGGACTAGTGATAACAAAGGGAAATCTGTGATGTCACATGGATATCGGTGACATCACAGTGGACCTGGAAAACCACACAGAGACACCAGTGATATCATGGGGAACATTGGTGACATCACAGGGGAGAGTGGTGACATCACAGGGACAGCAGTGACATCATTGTGGACCAGTGACATCACAGAAGACTGGTGAAAACAAAGGGGCAGCTGTGATCTCACAAGGACATCAGTGACGTCACTGGGGACATCGGTGACTACACAAGGACAGGGATGACATCGCAGAGACACCAGTGATGTCATCAGTAACAATGGTGCCATAACAGATACGTTGGTGACATCATTTGGGACCAATGACATCACATGGGACTGTTGACAACAAAGGTACAGTCGTGATGTCACAGGACTATCGGTGACATCACAGGGGACAGGGGTTACAATACAGGGGACAGAGGTGTCATCACAGGGACATTGTTGACATCACTGGGGACAAGTGACATCACAGGGGACTTGTGACAACAAAGGGACAGCTGTGATATAACGTGGATGTTGGTGGAGGAGCTTTCAGAACAAACTGCACACAGATCGGGATGATTTACACAAATGTTCCACTTTATTTACATAACCCAGCCTCTTATATACTTTCACTGCCCCCCGGGGCGTGATCACTTTCAAACTATTGGTTATTTGCTGTAGCCATGAACCGAGCGTGCATTACTAACACACTTCCTCTTGGTTGCATACAGATGTCCATGTGATATGAAGACATTGTTTTTCTACTAAAACTCCTCCTTGTTTTTGTCACAGGTTTCTCTTTGTTTACATTCCTGCAGTCTGTTATCACTGCTCCTGTATCTTTCCCCTGCCTGCAAAGAGGCTTCTGGCTATGTCAGGGCCAGGTCTAACTGAGGCCTATTAGTATGGCTTGTCCATAGTGTGTCTTTTTTCAGATAAGCACTCCACAAGTCTGATCCCCCAAATGGAATAAGAATGAAGATTCCTCCCAGACAAAAGGTGCCAGCACAGGAAGCTCTAGGTGTGCATGGAGTGCCAAGAGTGGCTCAACAATTTCACAGGAGAGATGAAGGGTAAAGGCTTTCTTTCCTGGGTG